TCGTAGTTTTTTTCGAGGTAGATTTGAGAATGTTGTCATCTGAAGAGGCAACCAAGAATCCCAAAATTTAAAGCCTTCTGAAGGATGTAAGGGGCACAAGAAGATAGAAAAAAAGCTTTTTGATTTCACACGTTGAAAAAAAAACAGTTTTGTCGGTTTTTGGCTGATTTTGCTCATTTCGAACTGGAGGAAGTTTTTTTTTGAGTTGTTCCAAATGCGATTAAAAATATGCTCTCATCTGTGAAAAACCACAGAAGCCCCCTTCTGCACCCTAATTTTTTCTCACTCCACGAAAAAAAATTCCCTTTATAGCGCCCAGCAACGACAAGCGTCTGCACTAAACAAAAGGTGAAAATCACGAAAAAGGATCCAAAAAATATAATACTCCATTCGCAACAACTTCAACCAGTCTGACCTGTCTGCGTCTCTTTTCTCTCATAGCACTATACAACATGAACACGAGAGAGCACAGAGAAGTCAGACGGTTCAAAGTTTGTGGCGAATGGATTATTCAATTTTTTTGATTTGATTTTTTCAGTTGATTTTTATTTAGTTAGAGTGAAACCCCTATTCGCTCCTATTGTCGCTATTACTAATACTCTCTTATTTTCTAATAATCGTAACGTACTTCTTAAGTTCATCCCTGCATGCTTCTTATGAACAAAATGAAATCGATTGGTTCTGGCTAATTCATAATTTTTGAGTTGGTTATTGGGCTGAAACATTTTTTTGTTTGGATTAGTCATTTCAAATCAGGCTTGGGTATATTGAATAAAGTTTTTCAAATTCACATTATGAGATTATAAAATTTTTTTAAACTCTTGGTTTTTTTCAAAAATTGACTTTTTGGTTGAATTCAATCCGAAAAAAATGCTTATAAAATTCAATTTATAATATATAGCCCAAGTTTGGTTTGAAATGACCCAATTTTCAAAGCCCAAAAGTTCTTGTACTCTGTTCGTTAATACCCGAGTTTTACTTCAAAAATCAATTGTTTCATTCCCAGAGAATCCACTGCCGGAGCCGGAGGCAAAGGCGGCAAGGACGACGAGCCGAAAAGTGAGGCCGAACGTCGACAATCGCTGTTCCCGGGCAAGAAAGTCGAAAAATGGGAGGTCCCGCTGCCCGATAAGACTGTCCAGCAACAGGTTCTTTCATTGGAAAAATGCTTGAAAAATCAAAAATAAAATAATTTCGTAGGTCGACAAGTTCTGCGAGTGGAAATGTACCTATTCGCGGCCCAACGCCAAGATTCGATGGTACAAAGATCGAAAGGAGATCTTCTCTGGAGGTGAATACTCAGGATCGACAGAGTGGTCCCTAGAGGGGTCGGGGATAAACAGCTTTTCTAGGGGACAGAATAGGGATCCCTAGAGATGTGAAGTTCATATAGACCCTATAGGGATTTAGGATCTCATCCCTGAGCCCCTGAAGCTTGAGTAGTCCCTAGAGGGGCTACGGAAAAAAGCAGCTTCTCTAAGGGACAAAATAGTGATCCCTAGAGGGGTTTTAAAAGTTCATGTGGTACATATAGAGGTTTAGCGTCTGAGCCCCAGGCCCCTAAAGCTTGAGTGGTCCCTAGAGGGGTTAGGGAAAAACAGCTTTTCTAGGGCACAAATTAGTGATCCCTAGAGGGGTGAATGTTAAAGAATCCGTATAGGAGTTCTATGTCTGGCCCCTGAGGCTCAAAGATTTAGTGGACCCTATAGGGACAGTAAGGTATACTGTAGAGGGTAACCTTCAAGGGTTATCAAAAACCAAAAAAAAGTTTCGATAGAAAAAAGTTTTCGAATTTCTTCTTTTCGGAACATTTTATGATCAGCGAAATTTAGTGCAAAACTATGCGAATTTTTTGCTAAAATATGAGAAAGTCTGATTTTTCTCCACCCTCTAGAGTTCCCGTGTTATTTTCACGTGTCTAGAACCCCTAGGGTGAGAGAAAAGAGAGCGCAGACAGGTCAGACTTTTTCGAATCGTTAACTATTTTGATCCAGCGGAAAGATTTACTATCTAGCAAAATTCAACTTTCAGGTCTGAAATACAAGATCGTCATCGAGAAGAACGTCTGTACCTTGATCATCAACAACCCGGAGGTCGACGACACCGGCAAGTACACCTGCGAGGCGAACGGAGTCCCAACCCACGCCATGCTCACCTGCCTCGGTCCGATTCCCGGTTTCCTCGATGGAATATATCCGACTTTTGCAGAACCTCCGGTCAAGTACAGCTTCTTGAACCCTCTCCCCAACACCCAGGAGATTTACCGAACCAAACAGGCCGTGCTCACCTGCAAGGTGAACGCGGCGAGGGCCCCTCTCGTCTGGTACCGCGGAAATAAACCCATTGATCCGTGAGCGTCTCCTGGAGAAGGCTAGAATTCAAGGAAGGTTTTCAGGAATGACAAGCGGTACATCATCGAGAAAGACGCCGTGGGCCGATGCACCTTGACGATCAAAGAAGTCGAGGAGGACGACCAGGCCGAATGGACCGCCCGAATCACTCAGGACGTCTTCAGCAAGGTCCAGGTCTACGTCGAAGGTGATAATCAAAGAGTTTCAACTTTGAATTTCCTGAAAATCCGCCAGAATACGTCTTGATGCACCAAAAGAAGATTCTGAATACCTCTAATCACTCAATTTATTTCAGAATTTTTGAAACCTAACCTTCCACGACTTGAAGTTATTCATTTCCAGAACCTCGTCACACGTTCGTCGTGCCGATGAAGTCGCAGAAGGTCAACGAAAATGAGACGGCGACCCTGGAGACGGACGTCAACGACAAAGACGCCGACGTCGTCTGGTGGCACGACGGCAAACGGATCGACATCGATGGAAAGAAGTTTGTCGACGAGGGGAAAAATAGGAAAAATGAAGGAAAACTCTATAAAATTAAATAGAATAGTCAGTCTAGTTACGACTATGCAAAGCTCGCTACACAAATTTTCGAAAAAGGGCATTTTTTACCTTTGAAAAATCATAACTTGACCATTTTTTCGATTTTTTTGATAAAACTCGATTGAAGTGTACTCAAGGCCCCCTGGTTCCAGAAAAAAACAAAATACTTTGCCACTTTTGCCTTTTAGTGAAGTTGGGACCCTTCTAAGCTCGTAAACCACATAAATTTTTGAAAAAGGGCATTTTTTCACCTTTTAAAAGTCATATCTCGACCATTTTTTCGATTTTTTCGGATAAACTCGGCTGAAGTGTACTTAAGGGCCCCCTGGTTCCAGAAGAAAGAAGATATTTCCCAAATTTAGTCTTGTAGTAAAGTTAGGTCCCTTCAAACCTAGCAAACTAGACAGATTTTTGAAAAAATGACGTTTTTTTTAAGCCACACTCGACTTCTAAGTAGAAATCGGGTATTTTTATTTTTCTTTTGTTTTGGATTTGGAAGGCTTTATAGTCCGGCAAAATTTCTAGAAGTTAATGCAGAAAGGACTTTTTTAAACACGCTTTGAAAAAAAATCGGCCAAAAAAATTTCCTTGTGAGGAAGAATCGTCACAAGAACATGCTCCTGAAAAAATTTTTGGCTTGAAAATTAACTTGTAAACGAAAAAACGAGTTCAGATACGTGATGGAAGTCTCGAATCGCAAGCGGCGGTTGATCATCAGCAGCTCGAAAATCGAAGATCACGGAGAATACAAATGTACCACCAAGGATGACAAGACCATGGCTCAGCTCATCGTTGAACGTTTGAAAATCCCGAAAAATGAATGAAAAACGAGCTTTTTCAGCTCTGAACAAGTTCATCGTCCCGCTGAAAGATACGGACGTCGTGGAGAAGGAGGACACGACCCTGATGTGCCAGACGAAAGACACGAAGACGCCCGGAGTCTGGTTCAGGAACGGAAAACAGATCAGTTCCATGCCCGGTAAGGATTGAGATAAAAATTGAGGGAAAGACTGATTTTTTAAAGGATTTTTAGCTTTAAAAAGGGCTGTAAAATTTAGAAACGGATTTTTTCGAGAGAAAAAAAACCTATAAATCGTATATTAAAAAAATTCCTACCAGTGATCTAAGCGTTAGAGTAGCCAAAAAAATCCTGTCCTATATTTATTTATTCGTTTCATCTTTTTAAATAAGTTTTTGGATTAAAAATTGAGAAAAAAACTGATTTTTTTAGTCATTTTGCAATGATTCTACGAGGGTTATAAAATTTAGAAACGGTCCATTTTGAATAAGAAAAACACAAGTCTCAAATAAAAAAATATCAAGTTCCTGAAGCTTTCTAATGATTTTATCAGGATTAAAAAGTCTTTTTTTCAAGTTAAACCCATAAACTAGTGAAACTGAAAAGTGACTTCATTTTCCCATTCAGGTGGCAAATTCGAAACGCAATCCCGCAACGGAACCCACACCCTGAAAATCAGCAAGATCGAGATGAACGAGGCCGACGTCTACGAGATCGACCAGGCCGGCCTCCGCGGCTCGGCCAACGTCGTCGTCCTGGAGGCCGAGAAACGGCCGGTGCTCAACTGGAAGAACAAGAAGATCGAGGCGAAGGCCGGCGAGCCGTGCGTCGTCAAAGTCCCCTTCCAGATCAAGGGAACCCGAAGGGGCGACCCCAAGGCGCAGATCCTGAGAAACGGCAAGCCGTTGGATGAGAAGATGAAGGGCCTCGTCGAGGTCGTCATCAAGGACGACGTCGCCGAAATCGTCTTCAAGGATCCGCAGGTGAGGAACAGCGTTGGCAAGGAGTACAGCTTGAAAGAATATATCAAAAACATGTCAAAAATTCTAGGTGATAATGGTAGAATAAGTGGAGAAAAAAGTCTAAAAATGATTTTTCATGATACTGTAGGTGAGGAACAGCGTTTTCAACGAGTACAGCTTATTGCAATTGAACATAAATTTGACAAAAATGGTAGTTTAGGATAGTAGAATCATGTTTTAAAAAACATTATCAAGAAAATGAGTTCCAATAACACGCAGTTGATGAACAACATTTTCAAGGAGTACAGCTTGTGAAATTCCAACAGAAAAAAACGTAAAGAACATAATTTATAAAAAAAGTTTTGAGGATCTGCAGGTGATGAACAGCGATGTCAAGACGTGCAGGTAGAGTAGAGTTTGGGCAATAAAAATGTGAAAGTGGGCCGTTTTAGTGGGAAATTTGAAGGAAAGGGAACAAATGAAAATTATTCTTTTTTTTTCAATCATTTTCTTGAATCTATGTCCTCTGAGAGTGATTTGAACAGTTAGAAAAGCGACAAGAAGCTCTGAAAATAGACTTATCTCGAGATTTCTCAAACCTTCAAGCTTCAAATTTTTTTTCTGAATGTATTCTTTCCTTCAGCTCGCCGACACCGGCAAGTGGGCCTTGGAGCTCGGAAACTCGGCCGGAACCGCCTTGGCGCCCTTCGAACTCTTCGTCAAGGACAAGCCGAAACCACCGAAGGGACCACTTGAGACGACGAACGTGACGGCGGAAGGCGCCGACCTCATCTGGGGCACCCCGGATCCTTCCGAAGGCGCTCCCGTGAAAGCCTACATCGTCGAGGTCCAGGAGGGCCGAAGTGGCCAGTGGAAGAAGATCGGCGAGACCAAGGGAACCGAGTTCAAGGTTTGGAGCTTTGAGGGGGTAGAAGACTTGGAAGTTTGGATGTTTAGGTGAAAGATCTGAAAGAACACGGAGAGTACAAGTTCCGAGTCAAAGCCGTCAACGAATGTGGCGCTTCGGATCCGTTGACCGGAGAGACGATTCTCGCCAAGAATCCTTACAGTTGGTTTTTCGGAACTTGTGATTTGCGATAGAGCAAAGTAGAAGCGAGAAAACAGCTGCCTGGGAAAAAATGGGCAGAAGAAGCTCAAGGCAGGATTTTAGGGAAGGATCTGCAAGGCTGAAACGTTGATTTTTGTCTTCTTTCCAACCTTTTTTTTTAAACTTCCGACATTTTTCACAGAAAGCTTCAAGCACGGCTTCAAAAAACTTTTGTTGCAAGCTAAACCTTATTTTCTTTTCCGGAAATCATGATGAAAATATTCTAAGCACGGCTTCATCATTGCAAGCTCCAACTCCCCTTCCTACACTTTTTTTCAATTTTCTTCCTCAAAACAGAACCTCCCGGCAAGCCGCGGAACATGGAGGTTGTCGACGTCGACAAGGACCACTGCACCTTGTCCTGGGAACCGCCCGAGGACGACGGCAACAGCCCCCTGACTGGCTATATCGTCGAGCGACGCGAGAAGTCCGAGAAGGACTGGTACAGCCTCGGACAGACGCCGGCCAACGTGACGGAGATGGTCGACGAGAAGGTCGTCGAGGGCAAGGAGTACTACTACCGGATCAAGGCCGTCAACAAGGCCGGCCCGGGCGACCCCTGCGACCATGGCAAGCCCGTCATGATCAAGGCCAAGAAAGGTGCTTGCTTTTCTGGTTTTTCCGAGTTGCTGGATAGGTACAAAACTGTGTAGTTTTTAAAATCCAAATTTTTAAAGAAAATAGGATTTGTATCTATCCAGTTACCACCTTTTCAGCCCTGTTTTTTTCTTTTTTTTTACATTTTTGAGTGACTTTTTTCTTTTCTTATATTAGTGGGATATTTGGTACTTTTTGATTTTTGATAGGATTTTTAGTAGAATTTAGTTTTGATGAGTCTTTTTCGATTGGAACTTTTTAGGGTTTTAATTTTTTTTTTTGAAAGGTTTTTCGAGTCTAGAAAGTTTTCGTTAAGCTTTAAAAATTGCTTTCAAAGTTCTGATTTTTTTCTAGAGCTTGTAGTTTTTTTTGGTTTCAGATAGAAAATAATGTTCTTCTCTCGTTTTACCACCTGAAATCCAGAATTTTTTCATCAAGCTTTAAAAATTTATTGCCGAGGACAAAATTCTCTAGAACTTGTATTTTTTTGAAAGTTCAAATAAAAAGATAGATTTTTTTCCTGGATTTCAGAACGAATGAACCTTTCTTAAACGATTATTAGCTGTAACTGAACAATGTCCTCGTTGTTTTGATTTTTTTCATTAGTTTGAGATTTCTTTGTCTACAGTTCAAGTTCAGCTACAAGCCTAATGGTGCTTAAAAAAATTTCTCCCCTTTTCTAGCCGCCCCCGAATTCACCGGCGGCGGCATCAAGGACCTCCGTCTGAAGGTCGGCGAGACCATCAAGTACGAGGTTCCGATTTCCGGTGAACCTCTTCCTGAGGTCTCCTGGACCGTCGATGGCAAGCCTTTGAAGCCGGTCGGTCGCGTCAAAATGAGCACCGAACGCGGTAAACACGTCCTGAAGGTTCTGAAGGAGTTCAGAAGACCTCAATCTTTTAATTGAATAATACAGATCGAAAACGCGGTCCGTGGCGATTCCGGTCAGTTCACGATCACCTTGAAGAACACCTCCGGAACTGTCGATTCGACGGCCAAAGTGACGGTCGTCGGAAGGCCGACACCACCCAAGGGACCACTTGAAGTCGAGGATGTCTGCGCCGATGGAGCCACGCTTTCCTGGAACCCGCCTGAGGTATCGTTTCAGATGGAAAAGTGCTCTTTTGAGGCGGAAGGATGGAAAATTCTTGGATTTTGAGAGACTTAAAGGACTTTCGAATGAATTTTCAGGCTGATGAAAAGTTTGACAAGAACTGAAAATGATCTTTTCTAGAAACTCGGGTCCTTTCTCTCGATAACCTTCAATTTTCAAACTTCAGGACGATGGTGGAGACCCGCTGACGGGCTACATCGTCGAAGCTCAGGATATGGACAATAAGGGCAAATTCATCGAAGTCGGCAAAGTTGACCCGAACACGACCAATCTCAAAGTCACCGGCTTGAGAAACAAGGGCAACTACAAGTTCAGGTACAGTTTTACCCCTAAGAAAAGGAAAAATGACGATTTCTCAGAGTAAAAGCTGTGAACAACGAAGGAGAGTCCGAGCCTCTATCTGCCGATCAATACACGACCATTAAAGATCCGTGGGATGAGCCCGGAAAGCCGGGACGACCGGAAATCACTGATTACGACGCTGATCGGTGAGATATGTGTCCTCTTAAGGGACCACTTGAATGTGGCCTCTTAAGTGACCCCTGTAGAATCTTTTTTTGTTTGAATTTCATTCGCTTCTTGTAGATGTTGCAGAGAGGTTAGGGATCCCTTAAGTGATCACTCAGACGCACATTTTGATGCAGGAACGCTAGAGTGCCCACTTTAGGCTTCTTTGAACCATTCGCTTCAAATCAAGCTAACCCCTAAGTGGCCACTCAGTCGCACCGAAAAACACTAGAGTGACCACTTTAGGCTCCTTTGAACCATTCGCTTGAGATCAAGCTAACCCTTAGGTGGTCACTCATTAGCATTGAAAAACGCTAGAGGGACCACTTTAGGCTTGTTTGAACCATTCGCTTCAAATCAAGCTAACCCTTAAGTGGCCACTCAGTCGTACCGAAAAACGCTAGAGGGACCACTTTAGGCTTGTTTGAACCATTCGCTTCAAATCAAGCTAACCCTTAAGTGGCCACTCAGTCGTACCGAAAAACGCCAGAGTGCCCACTTTGGGCGTCTTTGAACCCTTCGCTTAAGATCAAGCTAACCCTTAAGTGGCCACTCAGTCGTACCGAAAAACACTAGAGTGAGCACTTAAGGCGCCTTTGAACCATTCGCTTGAGATCAAGCTAACCCCTAGGTGGTCACCTCATTAGCATTGAAAAACGCTAGAGTGACCACTTTAGGCTTCTTTGAACCCTTCGCTTGAGATCAAGCTAACCCTTAAGTGTTCACTCGGACGCTTTTTCGAATACTTTCGCTAGAGGGCTCACTTTAATGAGAGATAGTAAGGAAAACTTTAAGATTTCTAAGAGGATCACTTGAAACTCAACTCTTAACTGGTCACTCAGGCGCTCTTTTAAATTCATTTTGATGAAAAAACACTTGCTTTTACTAGTCAGTTCTAACCAATCAGGAGAGCTTGATAACCACTCCAGGAGCTACTTGAAAAAAAGAGGAAATTCAAAAGGTCTTCAGAATCGACATCGCCTGGGATCCGCCAATGAAAGATGGAGGTGCGCCGATCGAGGAGTACATCATCGAGGTCCGCGATCCCGACACCAAGGAATGGAAGGAAGTCATGAGGTCGCCGGACACGAACGCCTCGGTCACCGGCCTCAAGGAAGGAAAGGAGTACCAATTCCGAGTCAAGGCCGTCAACAAAGCCGGACCCGGAAAGCCCTCGGAACCTTCCGAGAAACAGCTCGCCAAGCCGAAATTCAGTCAGTTGAAATACAATATTTGAAACCTTAAGAACGCCAGAGTGGTCCCTAGAGTGGCGACCTTTGGGGCACTTGAAAGTTTCTCCCAAATCACCTGCCCCTGAAAGGGTCACTTTTGTTGAACAATTCCAGAAGAACCCTATAAGGACCACTTGAGAGACACGCTCTAAACCCCTATAGGGACCACCTGAATTTCACCTCCTAGGGAGCACTACTTTGTCCCCTATATGGACACCCTTTAGTGATCACTCTGGTCTTCTCAAGTTGAAAATTGAAAAGAAAAAAAGAAAAAATCCATTTTTTTTTTCAGTCCCGGCTTGGTTAAAGCACGACAATCTGAAGAGCATGACCGTCAAGGCTGGCGCCACGGTCCGATGGGAAGTCAAAATCGGCGGAGAGCCAGTCCCAGAAGTGAAATGGTTCAAAGGCGACAAGGTCCTGGAGAACGGCGTGCAGTTGACCATCGACACCAAGAAGAACGAGCACACGATCCTGTGCATCCCTTCTGCAACTCGCGCCGACGTCGCCGAGTACAAGTGAGTTTTGAGGCGTTATACGATACTTTTTCAAACACGAAATTGAACTTTCAGGCTCACCGTCAAGAACTCTCACGGAGCTGATCAAGAAGTCGCCAACCTGACCGTCTTGGACAAGCCAACCAAGCCAAACGGCCCATTGGAAGTGTCCGACGTCTTCGAAGACAACCTGAACTTGTCCTGGAAGCCGCCAGATGATGATGGAGGCGAACCGATTGAATACTATGAAGTGGAGAAGCTCGACACGGCCACTGGTCGCTGGGTTCCCTGTGCCAAAGTCAAGGACACCAAGGCCCACATCGACGGGCTCAAAAAGGGCCAGACCTACCAGTTCCGCGTCAAGGCCGTCAACAAGGAAGGCGCCTCGGATGCCTTGACCACCGACAAGGACATCAAGGCCAAGAATCCTTATGGTGAGGGTCTTTATTTATTTCTTTATTGTCAGAACAACGCAAATAATTAAGATACAGATAGAAAGGAAATAATATAACATTGGACAGACAACAAAGCTAAGAAGGTCATATGGTGCCCTAACGAGCAGCATGGCGACCGTTCGCAAAAAGAGAAGAACAAAAAGATAAACTATAAAAAGACGATTGGGGATGTTGATAATAAGTTCGCTAACAGCTATCCTAGATAATTTATCTTTTTAAAGTTTTTGGGGTGGCACGAAAAAAATTTAATTTGGTTATTAATATGTTCCAAAGAGTTATATGACGCGAAAAAGAAGTTATCTGATAATGAACCTCTAGTTTGTAACCGAAGTGGATGTCTACCTAGCCGAGAGAAGGAAATAAAGTTGTCAATTGATGGAAAAATGATCAATTTTTTTAAAAACAATTTTATGGAGAGAAAAATATCAAGAAGAAGACGACGTTGAAAAAAAGCGGAAGAACATTGACTTGAGTTAATCTGTCTTGGTATGAAGTGAAGCTAAGATTGCATCTAATAAAAACTTCTCGAGAGAAGAAACGTAAGGAACTTTCTAGTTTATAAGATAGATCAGAGTTTAGAGGAGGGTTGAAAACCTCAGAACAGTATTCTAAAATTGGTCTTTTGGAGGATTTTCAGAGGGTTTTTGTGAAATTTTGTTCTTGAAAAAAACGACTTTTCTGAATGCCTTACAGAGATTCTGCGTCTTTGATTTGAAATTAGATTTGAAATTAATTTTTTTCAAGATTTTTCAGATTCCTTTTTTGACAAGTTTCCCCCTCCCCTTTTTGGTGTGGAGTCGTGAGAAAAATCAAAAATAAATTTAAATTCTGGCAATTTTTATTCATATCATCTTTTCAAACTTTCGAAGTTTTGAACTTCAACTTTTATTTTTATGACCCTTTTTAGCAAATTATAAGCAGACTTGTCAATTGGAAGCTTGCCAAATTTTAAAAACCCTAACAACATTTTAATGCCAAAAAGTGTAAGCTAGAGATCAATGGCGGCTTGAAGAGAAGCCAGAGAAACAGAGATTCTCCTACTTCTCTGGTGTCTCTTCGCAAAAGCGATGTATTTCCTTCTTTTTTAGTTTGAGACTCTTTATCGACCACTCTGACAAGTAAGCAGCATTTGAAAAACCGACTTTTATGAGAATCTGTCAGCTTTCAGACTCCGTCATTCAAGAATTATTTTTTTCAGACGAACCTGGAAAGCCAGGAACCCCAGACGTCGTCGACTGGGACGCCGACCGCGTCTCCCTCGAATGGACGCCGCCAGAATCCGACGGAGGCGCCCCCATCAGCCAGTACATCATCGAGAAGAAGGGCAAGCACGGCCGCGACTGGCAAGAGTGCGGAAAAGTCTCCGGAGACCAAACTTCGGCCGACATCCTCGGCTTGAAGGAGGGCGAGGAGTACCAGTTCCGCATCAAGGTGCTGAGAGATCCCATTTTCAGCTTCTTATTGGATTATTTAGGCCGTCAACAAGGCTGGACCCGGAGAAGCTTCCGATCCAAGCCGCAAGGTCGTCGCCAAGCCCAGAAATTGTGAGTTATAGGAGATGGAAGTGGTCCTTAGAATTTCACTAAAAAGACCACTTGACAGAAGTTCCAACACTCAAGTGGTCACTTCAGACTTTCTCAGTACCCAAGAAGCACATAAATTGTTGATTTCTAGCTATAGGTAGTGGGAAATTAGGCATTAGAAATTCCCTAAACTGACCACTTGACAAAAATTCCAACACTCAAGTGGCCACTTCAGTCTTTCACAGTACCCAAGAAGCTCATAAATTGTTGATTTCTAGCTATATGTGGTGGGAAATTAGGCATTAGAAGTTCACTAAAAAGACCACTCTACGAAAAATTCCAACACTAAAGTGGTCCATGTAGACTTTCTCAGCACTCCAGGAGCCCATGAATTGTAAGATTATCTAGAGTGAGTACAACAGTAAGCCATAGAACTCCCCTATAAAGACCGCTTGACAGTTCCAACACTCAAGTGGCGACTTCGAACTTACTGCAGTCTCAGTGAAAATGCTGAATCTTTAAGTGAAACCCTTGATCGACCGTGAACACATGAAGACGTTGACGATCAAGGTCGGCAACGACGTCGACTTTGACGTTCCCGTCCGCGGAGAGCCGCCACCGAAGAAGGAGTGGAGCATCAACGGAAAGCCCATCGGAGATGATCCGAAAATCCGGGTTCGTCCAAGGAAATTCGGAAGACCTAGACAGTTTCGAATTGTTGCAGATCCAAGACGAGGACTACAAGACCCACCTGGTCATCCGTGGAGCGACCAGGAAACACGCCGGAACCTATCAGCTCGTCGCCACGAACGCTTCCGGAACTGACAAGCATTCCGTGGAAGTCATCATTCTGGGCAAGCCGTCGAGCCCTGTCGGACCTTTGGACGTGACCAACGTGTTCGAGGATCGAGCTGACTTGGAATGGAAGGTACTGAGAAAAATGGCAATTTTTAGCAAGGAATTTGAGCTTTGAACTGGAAAAATATTAGCTTGTAGTAGTTCATTCACCATTAACAGAAGATCGCCTTGAAGTTTAGATCTCAAAAAAATTCCTGAAATAATTTTTCTAGACGAGATAGAGCCGTATAGCTGGAAAAATTCATGGAAATTCTCAATTTTTTGGTCATAGTTCAATCACTGCTGACGTGACGTCGTTTTTACAAAATCTTCGAAAAAACCTAACGAGAGCTTTTGCGCTCCATGGCGAATTAGAAAAAAAAAAGACATTCTCGGACCTCGGTAAAGCAAACGCCTCTCAAGGGGCTACTTTAAATGCTTAGAAACGTCAGGGACGGCGTCAGAACCCTTAAGTGGTCCCTAGAATCGCTCAGAAACGACCAGGGAGCGTTCGGTTTGCGCTACCAAGGTCGGGGTTCAAGCTGAAAAAATAAAATCATGATTTGATCCGAAATCGAAAGTTGTAAAACTTCTGAATAAACCCTAAACTCAACTTTTCCAGGTCCCCGAAGACGACGGCGGCATGCCGATTGACCACTACGAGATCGAGAAAATGGACATGGCGACTGGTCGTTGGGTTCCCTGCGGAAGAAGCGAGGGAACCAAGGCTACCGTTCAGAACCTTCAACCTGGACATGAATACAAGGTTCTTCTGGGGCTCCAGCTCATTTTTTTCGATCTTAGGAACTGCAGAGTGATCCCTATAAGGGCAACCTTAGGGGTCCCTAGAGGGTCCTGTTTGACCATCTCCAATCTACATCTTTCAGTTCCGAGTCCGCGCCGTCAACAAAGAAGGCGAGTCTGAACCACTCGTCGCCGACGCGGCCATCCTCGCCAAGAACCCCTACGAAGTGCCCGGAAAAGTCGAAAAGCCGACCCTCACCGACTGGGACAAGGACCACGTCGACCTGGAATGGAAGCCACCGGCTAGCGACGGCGGCGCTCCGATCGAAGGCTACGTCATCGAGAAGAAGGACAAGCACGGCCGCTGGGAGGAGGCCATGACCGTGCCCGCGGGACAGACCAACGCCTCGGTTGGAAACTTGAAGGCCGGAGAGGAGTACCAGTTCCGCATCATGGCCAAGAACAAGGCCGGTCTTGGAGAGGCGTCCGATCCGTCGGATCGTGTCATCACCAAGCCAAGATTCTGTAAGCGTTTCGAGGCGCTTCCCGAAATCGAGTCTTCTAGATTTTCTTGACGTTTTGATAAGATCTTGATTAAGGGAAAAGCTTTCCGAGTTCAGCTAGATCATCCAGGCTTTTCAAAAAGTTTCTTAAGATCAGGATTTTTCTGTAGTTCAGACGAGTTCTCGAAGATAATTAGGCCAAGTTGGGACTGTTAAACTTGAACTTGAACTTAGAACTTGGGACTTGAAAGATTTCCAAAACGAAGACTTTGAGATTCTGTAGACGTTTTGACAAGTTTTTAAAATATCAGAATCTTATAGGAGCGGAAAGTTTAGTTCAGTTAAAAAGCATTCCAGAATTTAAACTTCTAACTTCTTTTGGCAAAATTTCGGTCGAAAGTTTGGTTTTCTGGAGAGAATTTGGTACCTGGAACCTTTTTAGAACTGAAATTTTGACTTTCAAAATTAGCTCGGAAGTTGAAATTTTAAAAAGTCTGTGCCATAAAATTCCAAGTTTATGGGAATTTTTCAGTGGCCCCGTATATCCACCGAGAAGATCTCGACGACACTGTCATCAAGGTCGGGGAAACCCTGAAATTTGTCGTCCACATCGACGGAGAACCGGCCCCCGACGTCACCTGGTCCTTCAAGGACAAGGGAATTGGCGAGAGCAAGGCTCAGATCGAGGACGAGGACTACATCTCGAGATTCTCCCTGATCAAGGCCACCAGGAAACAGAGCGGAAAAGTATACGATCACTGCCACGAACAGCAGTGGAAGTGATACTGTATCGATTGAGATCAAGGTAAGGGGGTGATTGGAAAATATGGATTCTTCTAAGGAGTCTAAGTACAGTAGATGCATTTTTGGACGCTGAATCCGAATCTTCGCTTGAAAATATCGAAAAAAGGTCTGGGGAAAAGTTATGAGTCTTCAAAAATGAAGAAGTATAAGCTTGCTGGAGGCCTCAAACATGTGGGCAATTTCGCAGCTCGGCTCAAAAAACAGAAAAATCGATTTTTCGTGATCAGTCAGCTTCATCTATTAACAAAATGAGCTTAATCGGAGGATAATGTCCGTTTTTTACGCTTCTGAGGCATTTTTCCTAGTTTAAAAGCATTTTCCGAGGTTTTTGAGCACAGATTCGGAATCGGGACGAAAAACTGAGTCTAATAACTCTGGCCTTATTGAAAAAATCACCGGGATTGATTTTTAGTGAGCTCTGAAAGTTTGCTCAGTGGTACAAGTTCTTTTTTTTTCGAGGCAGACTAGAAAATCTCGAAAAGCTTTTCTAGGATGATGAACCCTCGGTTTCAGGTCAAGAGCAAGCCGACGAAGCCGAAGGGGCCTCTGGAAGTGACGGACGTCTTCGAAGACAAGGCGACCCTCGACTGGAAGCCGCCCGAGGACGACGGTGGCGAACCCATCGAATACTATGAGATCGAGAAGATGAACACCAAGGACGGCATCTGGGTGCCCTGCGGTCGCAGTGGAGACACTCACTTCACCGTCGACACCTTGAACAAGGGCGATCACTACAAGTTCCGCGTCAAGGTGATTTAAGGTCCCAGTATCGTTGGGGGTGAAAAAAATCGGGCTTAATTTTTTCCTCATCCACTTCAGTTTTGATGTACTATCTTTTATCTTTCGGATTTTCAATGACTTTTTCTTTCTGAATGAAGTTATCAATATAAGTTTTGAAAAAGGTGATTTTCATCCACAAGGAGGTGATCAATCAATCAATCAATATTTATTGGTTGTTTTAGTCCGATGGAATCGACTAGGCGGTGAAAAACTCTTTTGAGCGGCACTAACACCGCCTCTGGCGAAAAAGAAGTCAAAACGTGTAGTTGATTGAATTGAAAGCATCTCGCATGCTGAGCAGGGTAACCCCGCCGTGCTAACACGGGGTCTCAGCGGGTGCCCCCGTATTAAACCCGTATAAGCCCAGCTGATAGAACTTTTGGCACTTTTTAGCCCAACTGAGACCCCGCTTTAGCCCAGCTGGGTTACCTATTTTTCTTACACCCGTTGTTCCCCCGTTTTAGCCCAACTGAGACTAAAATAACCTCAGAAACACGGGTTTAATACGGGTACACCCGTTGAGACACCTGCTCAGCATGCGAGCATGATTCTAATAAAAAGTTCAGATCTCTGGGAAAAGTGGTCAAATCCCTCTTTAAAAAATTTGATTCTGAAAAACTTGTACAAATTCGTATTTTCCGGAAAGCTTGAAATTTGAGGCTCAAAATTGCTGAAAATACAATTTTAGCGTCTTGACGACGTTTAGAATAGCGGAAATTTTTTTCGAAACAGAAATTTTTTGAACGCTAGATGCACTGAGAGATAATTATCGAGGACCTGTCATTTTTGAGAAAAAAAATTTTGATCTTTTTGATGACCCCAAATGAATCTTATAGTATTAGCCGATAAATATTCTTTTTTTTTACGGAAAAGCCTGCAGGACGGAACTCAAATTGTCCAGTTTGAGATCCTCAGAACTTTTTTCTAGCATTTTGAGGAGTCATTCGGCAAATTTTCAGGAGCTTGTGTGGTTTTGAACAAATTTGTCACTTTATTAAGGCCTAAACTACCTTAACTTTCTTACAGGCCGTCAACACCGAAGGCGCCTCGGAGCCCCTGGAAACGGAGACCGACATCCTGGCCAAGAATCCGTTCGACCGACCGGATCGGCCCGGAAGACCTGAGCCGACTGACTGGGATTCCGATCACGTCGACTTGAAATGGGATCCGCCGATTTCCGATGGTGGTGCGCCGATCGAGGAGTACCAGATCGAGAAGAGGACCAAATATGGAAGGTGAGGGAGATCTGAAATTCCGGGTCATAAATTTTCATCTCGGACTTGTTAACGAGCTTCACTTTCATGTACCACAAATTGGCTTCAGAAAAATTCATTTTATAGCCTTCCAAAATAAAGTAGACTTTAGCCAAGCTAGATGGATAGTTATATCAAAGTTTACTGTAAAATTCTTTAAACTCTCTTTTTTTGACTGTTCAGTCCATATTACTGAAACTTATGAGATTCAAGAGGTCACTAGAGGGTTCATGTATTATTCATTACTTAAAGCTAACCAACAATCTTGGAATAAGCTTCCTTGGTAACCTTGATATTGTTCAAAAATTCAGATGGGAGCCAGCAATCACGGTACCCGGTGGTCAGACCACCGCCACCGTCCCCGACCTCACTCCCAACGAGGAATACGAGTTCCGAGTGGTTGCCGTCAACAAAGGCGGAGCTTCGGACCCGTCCGACGCCAGCAAACCCGTCATCGCCAAGCCTAGAAACTGTAGGAGCATCATCAAAAAACCCTAAAAGAAAATTCAACTTTAGTGCCACCCAAGATTGATCGTGATGCGCTGAAGAACATCCGCGTCAAGGCTGGTCAGTCGATCGCCTTCGATGTTCCCGTCTCCGGAGAGCCGGTCCCGACGGTCACCTGGCTGTGGCCCGACAACCGCGAGATCCGCAACGGAGGACGTGTGAAGCTGGAGAACCCAGACTATCAGACGAAGCTCCATGTGAGGCAAATGGAACGAGGCGACAGCGGAAACTACACGATCAAAGCCGTCAATGCCAATGGAGAGGACACGGCGACGGTCAAGATCAATGTCATTGGTGAGGAATCAACTATGAAAGTTCATGGTTTCTAGAAGGAAAACTATTAAAAAGGTACAATAAATATCGTATTTTGGTACAGTAGCGAAGAAAAAATTATGTTTTTTGCTTTCATTTTGAAATTGACGGTAGGGAATTTCCTTAAACGTGGTCAAAAAACTTCTTGATGTACCAGAAAAAATTCCTGGAAGTCTCAGTCTGAACAACTTTATAGTGTTGGAGAAATTAGGCACCGAAACGGATTTTGAAGTCTTCTCTTTCAAAAACTAGAAGCTTTTGAAGGTTGAAATCTGCTGGATATACTTCTACTACATCAAGGAGGGTTCTGCGAAGTGTTTAGCAAAGTGAAAAACCTTCCTTGTAGGAAGAAATGAAGTTTGAAATTATTAAGCTTCACAGAAAATTTCATCTGAACCAGAAGAAAAAGCCAGTGCAAAAGCAAGAAAAATCATCTAGACAAGCCGACGTGTCCAAACGGCCCCTTGGACGTGAAGGACGTCTTCGCCGACCACTGCACCTTGGATTGGCGCGCCCCCGACGACGACGGCGGAATCCCTATCGACAACTACGTCATCGAGAAGTTCGACACGGCGACTGGCCGTTGGGTCCCGGCGGCGAAAGTCGCCGGAGACAAGACTTCGGCCGTCGTCGAGGGACTTATTCCGGGACACGAGTACAAGGTAAACCCCTTCGTCAAGCTTTGAAATCTTCAAAATTGATCCAATTTTCTCGCTTATTCCAGTTCCGTGTCGCCGCCGTCAACGCCGAAGGCGAATCCGAACCATTGGAGTCATTCGGCACCACTTTGGCCAAGGATCCCTTCGAGAAGCCGGGCAAGACCAGCGCCCCAGATATCACCGATTGGGACAAAGATCACGTCGATCTCGAATGGAAGCCCCCGGCCAATGATGGCGGAGCTCCAGTTGAAGAATACGTCGTCGAGATGAAGGACGAATTTTCGCCCTTCTGGAACGAAGTCGCACATGTATGTACAAATCCCGAAATTCTTCTCTATTCAACTTTTCTAGGTACCGGCTGGAACCACCAACGCTACCGTTGGAAACCTCAAGGAGGGAAGCAAGTACGAGTTCCGAATCCGCGCCAAAAATCGCGCCGGACTCGGAGATCCGTCCGATTCGGCTTCGGCTGTCGCCAAGGCTCGAAATGGTGATTTTCAAGATTTTCAGAGTTTGGAACGAATTTTTTCTTCAGTTCCGCCAGTCATCGACCGCAGTGCGATCCAGGAGATCAAGGTCAAGGCCGGACAAGACTTCCAACTGAACATTCCCGTTTCCGGAGAACCACCACCGGAGATCACCTGGACCTTTGAAGGTCAACCGCTGGAGTCGGATGATCGGATGAAGATTGCTAATGAGGATTATAAGGTAAAGAATAAAAAAGAAGCCCGAGAATGGTTTGATTCCAGACCAAGTTCATCGTGAAGCGAGCTCTTCGCGGCGATACCGGCACTTACGTCATCAAAGCGCAAAATGTCAACGGAACCGACACGGCCGAGGTGAAAGTCACCGTGTTGGATCATCCCGGAACCCCTGGAGGTCCTCTGGGAGTTTCCAACGTCACCAAGGAGGGCTGCGACTTGGCCTGGAAGGCGCCGGAAGACGATGGAGGTACGTTTGAAAGAAAAAGTTTCATGCTCAATTTTTGGTATGAAGCTCAATCTGTCTGCAGAGGAGTATTGGTGACTTTTTTTCAGGAGCTGAGATCAGCCACTACGTCGTCGAGAAGCAAGACGCTCACACTGGCCGCTGGACGACTTGTGGTGAAGCCAAAGACACGAACTTCCACGTCGACGACCTCAGCCCCGGCCACGAGTACAAGTTCCGCGTCAAGGCCGTCAATCGCTACGGCGATTCTGATCCTCTTGAAGCCCGCGAGGCTATCATCGCCAAAGATCCTTTCGACCGCGCCGACAAGCCCGGCACGCCGGAGATCGTCGACTGGGACAAGGACCACGCCGACCTCAAATGGACCCCGCCGGCCGACGATGGAGGCGCTCCGATCGAAGGATACCTCGTCGAGATGAAGGCCGCCAACGGTGACTGGATCCCGGCCGCCAAGGTCCCTCCAGACCAACTGACCGCGACTGTCGAAGGCCTCAAGCCCGGACAGACCTACCAGTTCCGCGTCAAGGCGTTGAACAAGGCTGGAGAATCTACCCCGTCGGATCCGAGCAGAACTCTGGTCGCCAAGGCGCGCAATCTCCCACCAAAGATTGACCGAAACATGTTTGCCGACGTCCGCGTCAAGGCCGGACAGGCCATCAATTTTGACGTCAACGTCGAAGGCGAGCCTAATCCGAAGATTGAGTGGTTCTTGAATGGAGCTCCTCTCGCTTCTGGAGGCAAGACCAAGATCGACAACTCCACTGATAATAACACAAAACTGGCGACCAAGGATTCTGCCAGAAATGACAGTGGAAAGTACAAAATCGTCGCCACCAATGAGAACGGTCGCGACGAGCATGAAGTCTTCGTCAACGTTCTGGACATTCCTGGAGTTCCCGAAGGACCTCTTCGAGCTACCGATGTCCACAAAGACGGCTGCACCCTTCATTGGGATCCTCCAGCGGATGACGGAGGTTCTCCGATCACCAACTACATTCTGGAGAAGCAGGAAGACGGCGGAAGATGGGTTCCATGTGGAGAGACTGCTGATACAAGTCTGAAGGTTGGCAAGCTCAACGAGGGACACGACTACAAGTTCCGAGTCAAAGCCGTCAATAGACAAGGACAGTCGGCTCCGCTCACTTCTGACCACGCCATCACTGCCAAGAATCCTTATGATGAGCCCGATGCGCCGACTGACGTCACGCCGATCGACTGGGACAAGGACCACGTCGACTTGGAATGGAAACCGCCAGCCAACGACGGTGGAGCTCCAATCGATGCCTACATCGTCGAGAAGAAGGACAAGTATGGAGAATGGGTTCCGTGTGCCAAGGTCGACGGCAAAACGACCAGAGCCACGGCCGCAGACCTGACTCCCGGAGAGACTTATCAGTTCCGCGTCAAGGCCGTCAACAAGGCCGGTCCTGGTAAACCTTCCGATCCGACTGGAAACGTCGTCGCCAAGCCCAGGAAGATGGCTCCGAAGATCAACCTGGCTGGATTGCTCGACCTTCGCGTCAAGGCTGGCACGCCGATCAAGCTCGACGTCGCCTTCGAAGGAGAGCCCACGCCTACGGCTCAATGGAAAGCCAATGATACTACCATCAACGACGACTCTCGCGCTGAGGTCAACTCCACGCCTACGTCGTCAGCCCTGCATATCTTCTCCGCCGTCCGCGGCGATACTGGAGTCTACAAGATCATCGTTGAGAATGAGCACGGCAAGGATACGGCTCAATGCAACGTTACCGTCCTTGACGTGCCCGGAACTCCAGAAGGACCCCTGAAGATCAACGAGATTCACAAAGAGGGATGCAGTTTGAATTGGAAGCCTCCCGCTGACAATGGTGGCTCTGAAATTCTGCACTATATCGTGGAGAAGATGGACACGAGCCGTGGAAGCTGGCAAGAAGTCGGTCAGTTCCCTGACTGCAACGCCAAGGTCAACAAGCTGACGCCTGGAAAAGAATATCAGTTCCGCGTCAAGGCCGTGAACCTTCAAGGCGAATCGAAACCGCTAGTCGCTGAAGAGCCAATCGTCGCCAAGAACCAGTTTGAAGTTCCTGACCCGGTTGACAAGCCTGAAGTGACTGATTGGGACAAAGATCGAATTGATATCAAGTGGGATCCGACCAAGAACAACGGTGGATCTCCAGTCACTGGCTACATCGTCGAGAAGAAGGAGAAGGGAAGCTCTCTTTGGACTGAAGCCGGCAAAACGGCCGGAACTGCCTTCTCGGCGACTGGCTTGAAGCCTGGTGTCGAGTACGAGTTCCGTGTCATCGCCGTCAACGAAGCTGGACCTTCCGATCCTTCTGAACCTACCGATGGCCAGGTTACCAAGCCACGCTATCTGAAGCCGAAGATTTTGACAGCGCCAAGGAAGATTAAGATCAAGGCTGGATTCAGTCACAACTTGGAAGTTGAGTTCATTGGAGCTCCTGATCCAACCGCCACCTGGACTATCAATGACAGCAAAGACCTTGCTCCTGAGCTTATCATTGATAGCAAGTCTAACTTGACTTCCATCTTCTTCCCATCCGCCAAGAGATCTGAGAGCGGAAACTACAAGCTCAAGGTCAAGAATGAGCTTGGAGAAGATGAAGCCGTTTACGAAGTCATCGTTCAAGACAAGCCGACGCCTCCAGTTGGACCTTTGGAAGTGTCTGACGTCACGAAGGACAGCTGCGTCTTGGCTTGGAAGCCTCCTGTTGATGATGGAGGAGCTGAAGTCAGCAACTACGTCGTCGAGAAGCGCGACACCAGAACCAACACCTGGGTGCCCGTTTCTGCCTTTGTCACTGGCACATCTGTCACCGTTCCGAAACTTCAAGAAGGTCATGAATATGAATTCCGCGTCATGGCTGAGAACGCCTTCGGACGCTCAGATCCACTGAACACGGAGGAAGCCGTCTTGGCTAAAGATCCCTTCGGAACGCCAGGAAAACCAGGCAAACCCGAAATCGTGGACACTGATAACGATCACATCGACATCAAATGGGACCCGCCAAGAGACAATGGCGGCTCTCCGGTCGAACACTACGACGTCGAGAGGAAAGACGTCAAGACTGGCCGCTGGATCAAGGTCAATACTCAACCGGTTCATGGAACAGCCTTCTCTGACACTCGAGTTCAGAAAGGTCACACCTATGAATACCGAGTTGTTGCTGTTAACAAAGCTGGACCAGGACAACCCTCAGATCCCTCGGCTAGCGCCACAGCCAAGCCGATGCACGAGGCTCCGAAGTTCGATCTCGACCTCGACGGAAAAGAATTCCGCGTCAAGGCTGGAGAGCCACTTACCATCGCTCTTCCCTACACCGCTGCTCCAACTCCTCTCATCACCTGGACCAAGGAAGGCAAAGAACTGCCTGGAGTTGAGATCACTGAAACCCAGACTCGTTTGGTGATTCCAAGCGCAAGACGCAGCGATTCTGGACCGGTGAAGATCAAGGCTAGCAATCCTTACGGCGAAGCTGAAGCCAACATCAAGATCACCGTCATCGACAAGCCGGCTCCGCCTGAGAACATCACCTATCCGGAAGTTACTCGTCACACTTGCACTCTGAACTGGGACGCTCCAAAAGACGACGGAGGCTCTGAAATCACTGGCTACAGAATTGAGTATCAAGAACTTGGCTCTCAGATCTGGGATCGTGTTCCTGGAGTCGTCGCGACGACTTCCTACACTGTCCGTGGATTGGAACATGGACAACAATATCGCTTCAGAATCAGAGCTGAGAACCTCGTCGGCCTTTCTGACTTCGCTCAAGGCGCTCCGGTCGTCATCAAAGATCCGTTTGACCCGCCAGGCGCGCCAAGCACTCCGGAAATCACCGGCTACGACAGCAACCTCGTCTCCTTGAGCTGGAACCCGCCAAGAGATGACGGAGGCTCGCCAATTCTGGGCTACGTCATCGAACGTTTCGAGAAGCGAGGCGGCGGCGACTGGGCTCCAGTCAAGCTGCCTCTCATCAAGGGAACTGAAGCTACGATCGTTGGACTTCATGAAAATGAGACCTATCAGTTCCGAGTTCGCGCTGTCAATGCAGCTGGACCAGGAGAAGCTAGCAACGGCTCTGAACCTGTCACCTGCAGACCGTACGTCGAGAAGCCAGGACCAACCGACGCTCCGCGAGTTGGAAAGATCACCAAGAACTCGGCTGAGTTGACCTGGAACAGGCCGATTCGTGACGGCGGCGCTCCGATTGATGGCTACATCATCGAGAAGAAGAAGTTGGGAGACAACGACTGGACCAGATGCAATGAGAAGCCAGTCAGAGAGACTGCCTTCGAGGTCAAGAACCTTGGAGAGCGTGAAGAGTACGAGTTCAGAATCATCGCTGTCAACAGCGCTGGCGAAGGAGAACCATCAAAGCCTTCTGAGCTGGTGATGATCGAAGAGCAGCCAGGAAGACCTTGCTTCGACTTGTCTTCTCTCAAGGACATCACCGTCCGTGCTGGTGAGACCATCCAGATCAAGATTCCGTACTGCGGAGGCAATCCCAAGCCGATCATTGACCTCTTCAACGGCATTGCCCCAATCTTTGAGAATGACAGAACTGTTGTTGATGTCCATCCCAACGAAATTGTCATCACCACGACTCAAGCCAAGAGATCTGACGCTGGTCCTTACAAGATTGTTGCCACGAACAAATATGGCAAAGACACTTGCAAGTTGAACGTTACTGTTCTTGACGCTCCAGGCAAGCCTACTGGTCCGATTCGCGCTACAGACATTCAAGGCGATGCCATGACCTTGAGCTGGAGACCGCCAAAAGACAACGGAGGCGATGAAATCACCAACTACGTCGTCGAGAAGCGCGGTCCTGGAGGCGAATGGGTCACTGTTGGACATCCGATTGGAACCTCTCTCCGAGTCAGAAACCTCGACCCCAACACTCCCTATGACTTCCGAGTTCGAGCTGAGAATCAGTACGGAGTCGGAGAACCATTGGAAACAGACGAAGCCATTATGGCCAAGAATCCATTCGGCACTCCTGGCGCTCCCGGAGTTCCAGAAGCCCTTGAGACTTCTGAAGAAGCGATTGTTCTCCAATGGACTCGACCAACTTCGGATGGAGGTGCTCCGATTCAAGGCTACGTCATTGAAAAGCGAGAAGTAGGAACCAAGGAATGGAGCAAGGCTGCCTTTGGCCATATTCCTGATACCAAACATCGTGTGACTGGACTCACGCCGAAGAAGACCTACGAATTCCGAGTCGCTGCTGTCAATGCGGCTGGTCAGGGAGAATACAGCCAAAACAGCGCTCCTATCACCGCTGATCGGGCTCCAACCAAGCCGAAAGTCAACATGGCCATGCTCACCAGAGACGTTCTGGCCTACGCTGGAGAAAAAGCCAAGATTCTTGTACCTTTCGCAGCAACGCCTGAACCAAAGGTGACCTGGTCGAAGGGAGATGCCAAGATCACCGAGTCTGACCGACGCGCCAAGGTCGAAAGCAACGACTACCTCTCGACGCTTGTCATCGAGAAGTGTGAACTGTCGGACAGCGGCCTCTACTTCATCGAGCTCCAGAACAGCCAAGGAAGCGACACCGCCAGCGTCAGACTGAAGGTCGTCGACAAGCCGACGGCGCCTCAAGGACCTCTCAGAATTGAAGATATCTCACCAGACTGCTGCACTCTTCACTGGCTGCCACCAGTTTCCGACGGAGGTTCTCCTGTCACCAACTACATCGTCGAGAAGCTCAACCTTCGTGGTGAGCCTCGCTGGGAGAAGGTCAGCTCCTTCGTCCGAAATCTCAACTACACCGTTGGAAACCTCGTCGAAGGCGACCGCTATCGCTTCAGAGTCCGTGCTGAGAACCAGTACGGTTTCTCAGAACCTCTGGAGAATCCTGACCCAATCACCGCCAAGTACCAGTTCAACGTTCCAGACCAGCCGGATGCTCCAACTGTCCGTGATATGGATTCCAACTGGGCTGATATCGAATGGGACCCGCCGAGAGATGGAGGGTCCAAGATTATCGGCTACCAGGTGCAATTCCGCGACGCCAACTCGGCCAAATGGATCAACGCTCATAACAACCTGGTGACGGAACTTCACACCAGAGTGACAGCTTTGAGAAACTGCGGAGAATACGAATTCAGAGTCATTGCCAAGAACGCGGCTGGCTTCTCCAAGCCTTCGGCGCCCTCAGAGCGCGTGAAGCTGAAGTCCAAGTTCGGACCTCCTGGACCTCCGACCCAGGTTGGAGCTCAGTCGATAGGCCGAAATCATGTCACCCTTACCTGGGTGGCTCCTCTCGACGACGGAGGCTCGAAAATCACCGGTTATATCGTTGAACAGCGCGAATATGGCAGCACCTTGTGGACCAAGGTCAGCGACTACAACGTCCGCGATCCCGAATTCACGGTGCCCAACCTCAAGGAGTTCTCCGACTACGAGTTCCGCATCGTCGCTGTCAACTCGGCCGGTCGTGGAATCCCGTCCCTGCCTTCTGGACCCATCAAGATCCAAGAAAGCGGAGGTTCGAGGCCTCAGATCGTCGTCAAGCCGGAAGACACTGCTCAGCCCTACAATCGTCGGGCCGTCTTCGTCTGCGAAGCCGTCGGAAGACCAACTCCGACCGCCCGCTGGTTGAGAAATGGCAGAGAATTGCCCGAGAGCAATCGATACAGGTTTAGGGAGAAGTGAGGAATTTTTGGAAGGAGACGTTCAGATTCGAAGCCAGCGACGGAACCTATAAGTTCATGATCAAGGAGGTCTGGGACATCGACGCCGGCGATTACACTGTCGAAGTCGCCAATGTCTATGGAACTGACACTGCAACCGCCAAGCTCATCGTTCAAGGTACGAATAAATCAAGAAATTGGAAAAAGAAAGGTTTTATAGGTATAGAAACTATAACGAAAATTTTTTTTATGAAACTTCAAAATCAATGTTACAGCTCCTCCCGTCATCGAGAAAGACGTTCCGAACACGATCCTACCTGACGGCGACCTGGTCCGATTGAAGATCTACTTCTCCGGAACCGCTCCATTCCGTCACTCGCTGACCTTGAACAAGGAGGAGATCGGCGTTGAACATCCGACGATCCGAACCGTCGAGTTCGACGACCACATCCTCATCACGATCCCCTCGCTTTCCACCCGGGAAGCTGGCCGATACGAGTACACCGTCAGCAACGACTCTGGAGAAGCTACCACCGGATTCTGGCTGAACGTCACGGGTCTGCCCGAAGCGCCGCAAGGCCCGCTCCACATCAGCAACATCGGCCCGGCCGGCTGCACCTTGGCCTGGAGACCTCCCGCCTACGACGGCGGAGCTCGAGTCACAAACTACGTCGTCGAGAAGCGAGACCTGTCCAAGGATGAATGGACCGTCGTGGCGTCGAACGTCAAGGACATGACCTACCTCGTCCAGGGACTCTTCGAGCACCACGAGTACGAGTTCCGCGTCTCCGCTGTCAACGAGAACGGTCAGGGATCTCCCCTCGTCGCCGAGAATCCGATCGTCGCGCGACTTCCGTTCGACCCGCCCAGCGCTCCGTTGAACTTGGAAGTTTCCCAGGTGGGAGGCGACTACGTCACGCTCACCTGGAACCGGCCCGCTACCGATGGAGGTTCGATTTTTCCAATTTCGTATAATACTAGGCAACACTTACTAAAATGAAGAGCGTTTAACAATGAAAATGATGATTTTGTGCTTTAAAATCATTTTGAAACGTATTTTCTCAAAGACAGGAGTTTTTATTGCCAAAAAACAAGTGAGCTTCGATTTTTTTTATTAGTATTGAAAAATATAATTTTTATATAGGAAAAGGAGACACATTCATTATCAAAAACCCTCAGAATCCACTAAAAAAATCAGGATTTATTTTGTAATTACATTTTTTTCACCCAGTTTTTCGAACTCTGACTTTTTTTAAGAAATAAAAAAATTTTTTTCCTTTGAAAGATACGTTCTTCCTTATGAAAAGAGAAGATGACATTGAAATCCAAAAAGAAAGTAAAAAAAGAAAAAAATTTTTGTCAGTTCTCTGTGAAAAAAATGGTCTTTTTGAACCAAGTTTGCTCCGACGCACAGACTTTTTTTCTCTGCGCTCTCTCGCTGAGAGCCAGTTTATTGATTTTTTTGCTTTTTTTAAAAGTTATTTTTTTAAGTATTCTTCTTTTTTTGCTCATACTGTTTATTATTGTATTATTTCAATTTAGTTAGTGTTTTTTTCAAAGAAATATGAAAACTTCAATTTTTTTCCGAGTAATAAAATTTATCCTTATTCAATTATTTTTTTGCACTTCCAGTTTCTAACTTTTTGTTTCACTATACGGATTTCGAGCTTCTTCTCAGAATTTCTTTTTTTATTAAATAAAAAAACTGAAATTCAAGGTGGTCGCCTTCGAGGCTACGTCATCGAGAAGCAGGAGGAAGGCCACGAAGAATGGCTCCGTTGCAATCAGAACCCCTCACCTCAGAACTCCTACAACGTGCCGAATCTCATCGACGGCAGAAAATACCGCTACAGAGTCTTCGCGGCGAATGACGCCGGATTCTCCGAGCCTGCCGAATTGTTAGATTTTGACTGAAAGCTCATTTGTTCATAGTTATAACGGAAAAGTTTCTTATCCTCAAAAGAAAATGAAAAGGTGTCTTCAAAAAGAAAAATGATGGAAAAACTTATTGGGTTTGAATTTTTAATCTTTTTAGTTTCCAGAAAAATGTTTATTAAAGACAGAAAAATTTTTAAAATGCATTAAAAAAAGCTCTTTTTTTCGAGGATCTTCAGAGAAGCTTTTTCCGTTTAGCCCCAGAAGCCTGTAAAAAAATGAGTTTTATAATATTAAAGCCATGAAGCTTTGTGTACACCAATCTTTCACTGTCTTGGCTCGAAAAATTTTTGATAATAACCAAATTTTGGAAAGTTTTTGAATATATTTTGGCATGGAATTAACTTCTACATCTCATTTTCTACAATTTTCCGGATTTTAAATCAATTGTTTTTCCAGGGATTCTTCGGAATTCCACGCGGCCGGCTCCGGAAAAAGCGCCGGTGATCATCTCCGGTCTGAGCGATCAGTCCAGCGAGCATGGCCGAAGCGTCACTTTCGAATGCGAAATCAGCGGAAATCCCCGACCCGAGTACCGTTGGTTCAAGGGCTGCAAGGAGCTTGTCGACACCTCGAAATATACCATCATCAATAAGGTTGGAAGCTTAAAAATTAAATGAATTAGGTTATTTTTAAGGTTAAAGTGTTTAAAAAATGCCAAAGGTACTCAAAAAATTCAAAAAATTTTTATTTTACGTATCAGACTTGTGTAGAGAAATTGTGGCTTTTATCTTGAGGCCTATTAAAAATTAATAAAACTGTTTTCAGGGCGACAAGCAGGTGTTGATCATCAACGACCTCTCGGCCGACGACGCCGACGAGTACACCTGCCGGGCGACCAATTCCAGCGGAACGCGAAGCACCCGGGCCAGCCTGAAAATCAAGACCAAACCCCGTCTCTTCATCCCGCCCAAGTACCACGGCGGCTACGAAGCCCAGAAAAATGAGACGATCGAGCTGAGAATCCCCTACAAAGCCTACCCGGCAGCCGAATCCCGTTGGACGAAAAATGGCGAGAAGATCGAGAGCGGCGGAAAGTACACGATCACCACCGAGGACAAATTCGCAGTCTTGAGAATTTCTAACGCCACTCGGGAAGATTACGGAGAATACCGGGTTACGGTGGAGAATAGCGTCGGATCGGATTCTGGAATCGTGACGGTTTCCGTGGCCGACGTTCCCGAACCGCCAAGGTTCCCGCTCATCGAGAATGTCCTCGATGAAGCCGCGATCCTCTCCTGGAAACCGCCAGCTCTAGACGGCGGATCTCTAGTCACCAGCTATCTGGTCGATAAGAGAGAGACTTCCGGAGGCTCCTGGACCCCCTGCGCCAAGACCCGCTACACCTACCTGACGGTGGAAGGCCTCCGAGCCAAGAACACCTACGAGTTCCGAATCTCGGCCGAGAATCGCCATGGCATGTCGAAACCGTGCGAACCCACCGCGCCCGTCTTGATCCCCGGAGATGAACGAAGAAGGAGACGAGGCTATGACGTCGACGAAACGGGAAAGATCGTCCGAGGCAAGGGAGCCACTTCGTCGAACTACGACGCCTACGTCATCGACGTCTGGAAGCAGTACTATCCGCAGCCCGTGGAGATCCGACACGAAAGTGTGTTGGATCTGTACGATATCCATGAGGAGATCGGCACTGGAGCCTTTGGAGTTGTTCATAGGTGAGGAAGGAGGGTTGAACTGAATCATTTAGTTGGGAAAATCAAGAAGTAAAAAAATGTGAACTTTCTCTTTCAGAGCCACAGAACGTGCTACCGGCAACACCTTCGCCGCCAAATTCGTCATGACTCCTCACGAATCGGACAAAGAGACGGTCCGCAAGGAGATCCACACCATGTCCAACCTCCGCCATCCCAAATTGATCAACCTCCACGACGCGTTCGAAGACGACGGCGAGATGTGCATGATCTACGAGTTCATGAGCGGCGGCGAGCTCTTCGAGAAGGTCGCCGACGAAACCAATCGCATGTCGGAGGACGAAGCCGCCGAGTACATGCGACAGGTGCGGAATGAGGGGGAGAAGGGGCGGGGCAAGAAAAGCTGGACTTCTATAGGATTTTTTTAGGGATAGTGTCCATTTTCGCTTGAAAACCTTCATTTCCAGGTCTGCAAGGCCCTCTGTCACATGCACGAGATGAACTACGTTCACCTGGACCTGAAACCGGAGAACATCATGTTCACGACGAAGAGGAGCAACCAACTGAAGCTGATCGACTTCGGCCTGGCCGCTCATCTGGACCCCAAACAGACGGTCAAGGTGACGACCGGGACGGCTGAATTCGCCGCCCCGGAAGTCGCTGAAGGCAAACCCGTCGGATACTATACCGACATGTGGAGCGTCGGAGTCCTCTCCTACATCCTCTTGTCGGGACTGTCGCCCTTCGGCGGCGAGAACGACGATGAGACCTTGAAGAACGTCAAGGTTCGCAAGTCGATTCATTGAAGTCTTTTTGGGGACCTCTTTAGGGTTTTGACGTTTTAGTGGTCACTTAAGAAGCTCGAGACCTTTTTCGAAGTCTAGAGCGGAAAACTACTATAGTAGCCACTAAAAAAGTGGATTCTTCTGGTTCTGTGGTCACTTTAGTGTCCTCTCCAAGTAGGCCGTAAGGGACCTCTTATTTTAAGGCTCTTAGTTTTAGGGGCCACTTTAGTGTCCTCTCTAAGTAGACCGTGAGAAACCGCTTTAGTGGCACCTAGAGACACACGAAAACCCAACTCTTTCCGTTCAGAACTGCGACTGGAACCTGGACGACCCGGTGTTCGGCACGATCTCCGACGACGCCAAGGACTTCATCAAGAAGCTCCTCCTGGCCGACCCGTCCACCCGAATGACCATCCATCAAGCCTTGGACCATCCTTGGCTCGCAAGCGGATCCGTGCCCGGAAGGGACACTCAGATCCCCAGCAGTAGATATTCCAAGATCCGAGAGTCTGTCCGAGCCAAATACGTTGGTTTCAGAGGGATCTTCCCGGGAAAAATGCAGTTTTCAGGACGCCTGGCCAGAACCTCTCCCGCCACTCGGACGCATTTCCAACTACTCTTCTCTTCGGAAACACAGGCCAGGAGAGTACAAGATCCGCGACGCCATGTGGGATCGATCTGAGGCTCAGCCGAGATTCATCGTTCGGCCCTATGGAACTGAGGTAGCTGGGGAAGGGGGAAAAACTGTAAAAAGGCTTAATTTTGTTCATTGTTGAGCCCTGTGGAACTGAGGTGGCTGGGGGGAAGGAAGGATACTTGATTTTTGACCAAAAAAGGCCCAATTTTGCTTATAGTTGTGCCCTATGGAACAGAGGTAGCTGTGGGAAGGGGTTAGAAAGGGATTTTGATCAAAAAAAAAGAGACGTTCAACATTTCCCAATTGAATTAGGGCTTTATTTTATGCATAGTTTATCCCTATGAAGCAGAGATGATGATGGAAGCGAGAAAAATTGATTTTGGTCAAAAATTGATAGTTTTTTATGAAGAAAAAGTTGGAAAATCCTTGAATTATGGCCCAGTTCTTTTCATAGTACAGCCTTATGGAACTGAGGTAGCTGTAGAAAGGAGGAGAAAGGGATTTTGGTCGAAAAAGCGCTTTATCGAATGAAGAAAAAGTTGGAAAATCCTTCAATTTAGGGCTCAATTTTTCGCATAGTTTGGCCATATGTAACTAAGGTGATAATGGGAATAAGAACAACTCATTCTGGTTCATTAGTTTAAATTATATCTGCCTACTTTCGAAGCGTTATTGGTAATTATACCTCCATTCAAGTTCAAAACACTTCTGAAACCGGAAATTCAGGTTCACGAAGGCCAATCGGCCAACTTCTACTGCCGTGTGATCGCCGCCTCGGCTCCGATCGTCACTTGGCACAAGGAGGACCGAGAACTGAAGCAGTCGGTCAAGTACATGAAGCGGTACAACGGAAACGACTACGGCTTGACCATCAACCGAGTCAAGGGCGACGATAAGGTACCTTCAAAACGAACAAAAACAGCTTTATCTTGAACTTTCAGGGAGAATACACGGTCCGCGCCAAGAACTCCTACGGATCCAAGGAAGAAGTCGTCTTCCTGAACGTTTTGAGGACCAGCGAGCCTTTGAGAGTGCGCTAGTTCTTCATTTTTGAATAGGATTTAGTTGGAAAATTCATTTTTTCGCGTCTCTGTGTAGGAAAGGAATGGTAGAGTTAATCAAAAAGGCTTTTTTCTGAAGTTTTGGAAGTTTTTCAACTAATTTTCAAGTGCTGAAGTCTATCTTTTTGCAGTTCGAGCCGCTGGAACCCATGAAGAAGGCGCCGTCACCGCCGAAGGTCGAAGAGTTCAAAGAGAAGAGAAGCGCGCCGAAATTCACCTTCCACCTCCGACATCGTCTCATTCAGAAGAACCATTCCTGCAAATTGACTTGCACCCTGCAAGGCAATCCTACCCCCAAGGTACCTTTTTAGGGGATTTCAAAAAATAAGACTACATTTTCGACCTTTCTTTTGTTGAGTTTGGCGCGTTTTTTTTCTGATTTTTGAAAGTTTCACTGGGTTTTTATTGATTTTTTTAAAAAGTTTTTTTAGCGGCATTTTGGTTGTTTTTGAGCAAGAGTTCAAACCAGTTTGACGTTGCTTTTGGGTCAAAATGATCCAAAATTCGAAAACTTAATCGAGAAAACATTGAAAACTGGTTTAAAATTGTGCAGAAAAACCAAAAATCGCTTCAAACTTACCAATTTCCATGGGAAGTTTCTGATTTTTTTGAAGGTTTTTTTAGCTTGTTTTTTTGGTCGACTTTTTCCTGATTTTTGAAGATAATTTTTCGGCTTATTTCATTTTTTTTTGAAAAAGAGTTCGCTTAGGTTTTTACATTGGCTCTAGTAAAAAGGGATTTTTTTAGAATTTGAATATCCCAAATCCGACTTGATCTATGTTCAATTTGAAACAATTTTTTTCTGATTCTTGCATCATTTTTTTCATGAGAAAAAAACGAAAATATCATTCTAAAAATCGAAATTTCAGGTTGAATGGATGAAGGACGGCTACCCGGTGGACCAAGATCGCGTCCAACTGTCGTTCCGAAGCGGAGTCTGCTCCCTGGAGATTTTCAACGCGCGAGTCGACGACGCCGGAACGTACACCGTCACGGCGACGAATGAACTCGGCACCGACGTCTCCGAATGTCTGCTGACCGTCCAGACCAAAGGGCGGCGAGCCCCTGCCCAAAGTCGCCTCGTTCAGACCCAGAAGGGCCTATGACACCCTTTCGACTGGAAGCAGCGATGTTGAAAGGTGCTTATTGGGGGGAAGTTGATGAGAAAAATCAATAAATTTTTTTTTCATCGTCAGGCTATGCCGTGTTCAGAGTGATTCCGCAAAATTCGAAAATCCTCGATTTTCTCTATCTGACAGTCGTTTCGACTCTCTGTCTATGTATATGCGCCTTTAAAGTTTGACTATGTATATGCGCCTTTAAAGTCATTTGTCTGAAGTTATTCTTATATTAAAGGCGTATACTCAATTCTAGGCCGCGCGCATCGTAAAGAAGCTTCTAAGAAGGGTTTCTGTAGCTTGGGAAGTTTAGCCTGAAATTTGTGTTATATTAAAGGCGCATACCCAGTTGTAAGCCGCGCGCATTGAAAGAAATCTTTCCAAGAGGGTTCTGTAGCTTGATTCGTGATAAACTGTCGTGAAAAGAGCTATATTACTCGCTCTTCGAATATTTCAAAACGTAGCCGTTTCAGATCACGATCCTACGCTGACATCCGAAGAAAATCGCTGGCCCGAGACGTCAGTCCGGACACACGATCCGCAGCCGACGACCTCAAATTTCAAAGTTTCCAATGAACCGCCATCGTTCACGAAACAACTGCAAAACGTCGACCTGAATGTTGGCGAAGCCGCGGAGTTCAGCGCTGAGGTTTGAATGAAATCGGTTTTCCCCTGAAAGTTGTATATTTCTAGGTTACCGCAACCTCCAGAACCCTCTGATCGAATGGCTCCACAATGGAGAGAAGCTGACCGATTCGAGGTACAAGACTGTGTATTCGGGAGGCCGCGCGACGTTGAGGATAAACGACGTGACGTCTTCTGATTCTGGAGAGTATTTGTGCAGGTATCTCAAGCTCCGCCCCTAAAGGCGCCATAAACCACTCAGAGCGTTTTAGAATGACGTCATTTTTCTGAAAGATCTCGCCTTTTATGGTATCCGTAGGAGCTTCAGATATTATACAGCATGGTAAAAACATGAAATTTTCAGGGCATCCAACTCGGCGGGACAAGAACAGACACGGGCGACGCTGAACGTGAAGGCGTCGTTGCCCAACGGCCACATCAACGGAACGTCTTCCGCCGGTCTTTCCGTGAAGAGACATCTAAGTGGACAGATCGCCTCCGCTGGCGGCTCCGTCTCGTTTGAAGCCGCCGTCGAAGGAACTCCCGAAGAGGTCCTTTGGATGCGAAACGGACAGGAGGTGCCCCAAGCTAACTAAGTCCAGAAGACGTCCGATCTTTCAGCTTTCGTCTGACGGCCGAATCGAGGTGACGCAGGACGGCGACGTCTACAGACTGACCATCAACGACGCTGAAGCTAACGATGCCGGCCATTATCAGCTTGAAGCTCGCGACAAGGGCGTCAACCTCGTCTCCGTCGCCTCCCTCGTCGTCGTTGGTGAGCCTTCTGGAGATGATCAGATCACGTCGAGCCTTATTTTTCTGCGTTTTGGGGGGCTCTAACCTAATTTTTTTTTTCAGGCGACAAAGCCGAGCCGCCCGTGACGCGGTTACCGTCGTCGGTCTCCGCGCCCATCGGCGGATCCACCTCGTTCACTGTAGATTTCGAAAACGCTGAAGGGTATACGGTACAATGGTTCCGGGTACGATAACCATCCGATCAAAAGCAATCAAATAATCCTGACAAATTTTCCAGGGAGCCGAAAAAATTGAAAAGAACGATCGGCTAAAGTCGGTAAAGTCGGGCAACACGTTCAAGCTCGACATTAAGGTGAGCAAAAATGAGGTATCATGAGCAATACCGATCGATTTCCAGACTGTTGAAGCCGACGACGATGGAATTTACGTGGCCAAAGTGATCAAAGAGAAAAAGGCCGTCGCCAAATATTCGGCCGCATTATTGATTGTTTAAATCTTTTTTTTTCTATCGTGATTTTTTTTTTCATATTGTATTTGTGTAATATTCTTTAACTGCAAAAAAATAATTTTCCTTAAGTGACCCCTTTGCTCAGAATTTGTGGGCGGAGCCTCACGAGCTGAACTGACATCGTTTTTTTTTTCTTCGCATATCTTTTCCGATTGTTTTTATCCTTTCTCATGATCAATTTGTTTCTTTTTTCCTATTTTCATATTTCTATTGATTGATTTCTTCTCTCGGGAGGGACACCTTGATTGGAATGACGTCATGGTGAAGCTTGGGCCGCGTTCGGGACATCGCGCCCAACTTTGCCTTTTGTTTAGACTTTTCGTAGCTTTAATTTTTGAAGTCGAAATGGCTTAATTTGGGACGATTTTGCTGTTTTCTCTGGGCGAATGGTGTTTGGGACTCACCGTTTTGCTTGGGACTTCTTTTTTAGGTTCATGATAGGTTGCTTTTTTTCCTTTATTATCATTTTTATTGTATTTCAAAACGGATGAAACGATCAAAGTTGTCTTTTCTTTTTTTTTTCTGGTTGCTTCTAATTGCCTTCATTTTTCCGGTTTTCTTCTTCATTTTTATTCCGGTGATGAAATGTTCAGCTCAAAGGTTTTCCTGTCCACATTTTCCCTTATTTTTATAATGTTTTTTTTTCAATTTTGTGCCATGAAGAAATGCCCATATTTCTCTTCCTTGCTTCCCAGTCTCTTTCTTCTCTTTCCCCCCGTTTTTTTCTTCCCAGTCGCTTCGATCCATCTAGTCTTTTTTTCTGTTTATATAATTTTTTCAATGATTCAGTTATATGTCTAGCTTTTTTTCATCGCTGTATTTTTCCCACCCACTCTGCACACGAAACAAAAAAAGAGATTTTCTATCGATTATGTGTAATAAGTATACGTTTTCAAAATGAAATAAAATTGATTCAAAATGTAAATTTTTCGTGCTTTTTTTGTTTGTTAGTGAAAGATGTTGATTCGCAGATTTTTTTTCGCGTACTTGTGGTATTGAAATAGGGTTTTAAACTTTGAAAAAAATTAGCCGATTTCGTTTGAATTTCGATCAATTGTCGGTTTTAAAGACAAAACTTTTAAAAATTTTTAACAAAAAAACCGAATTTTAAAAAACTAGATTCAAAAATAAAAATAAGAAGCGATTTCAAGTCTTTAAGTGATATAAAAAAAGTTGAGATATTTATAAAAGTTAAAAAGACGTGAAATTGAGTTTCTCTCGTGAATAAAAAGCATTTCTGGTTTGGTTTTCGACCCTCGTCTAGCTCTTCTTTTTTTCTATGGTTTAAATTTATTATTTGATTTTATTAGGTTCAAATTGACTAGAATTTTGAAGAAAGTAACAATAAAAACTATTTTTTGCTGGAAAGTTTAAAGGCGCATGGACATGTTTGAAAAAGAGGTCTCGAGGCGAAGAGCCGTTCCTTCTTCTATTCTTGGGATTTCAAGACTTCTGCGCCTTTGAACAAGTCAGCAATGAATTTCATTTTCAACGGATTTCATGAGGGTCCTGAAAAGCGAATTTATCAAAAAACGCCAAAATTATTTGCAAGGAAAAAAATTGCAGTCGCGTTCTAGTACTGTGGGAACTGGCGATACCTCGTACGAAACGTGAGAAATTATTCTCATTATTTTACTGTATCCTTGATTTTTAGAACTGAAAAAGAAGGCACTTCGCCGGGTGAGGAAAATTTGATTCACTTCAAAATTAAGAAAAGCATCGACTAAATTCGTTAAATTCATTTGTCAAAATGTTTTTTCCATTTTTTTTTCAAATAATTCAGTGAGACACTTGAAAAAAAATCGTTTTTTCAACTTATTCAATTTGAAAATCTATAGTTTCCACCCCAAGTACCACTTTCGACTTGGATTTTCTTCTGGATGCACTTGACCCACGTGCAGGTTCGTATCCACAGTTGATGCGCAGTCAATCATTGATTTATTCTAGAAGAAGTCGTGAAAGTTAGCGCAGTGGACCTGGAATGGATCAACAAGGCGAAGGCGTTCACCGCGGCCGAGAAGCCAGACCCTAAGTCCGTTAAGGTTTGATTTGGACATGATTGTGAAAAAACGAAAGAGAAAATTATCGAAATATGCTTATAGAAATAGAAAAAACCGTTTTCGAAAAAAAAAAGCAAGTTTGTCGTAAAATATATTGTATTGGTGCAAACACGGTCGTGTTGAAATTGCACCGCGAATGCCAGACTTTACGAGCGACGGATTTTCTTCAATTTTTATCTGCTTTATGTCTATTTTTTTAAAGTTTTTCTTTTATTGATAAAGGGAAAACATTTTAAATTAATTTTTTTCAGTTCAGGCCCCAAAATAAACCGAAATGCTTTTTTTTTTCAAGTTGATTCTTTTTTTTCAGAGAATCTTGCCGAGACGCTATCGACGACCTCGTCGGACCCCCGGCCGCAGATGGGCTACGTTACGTCGGCAGGTGGGAGAATGAATATGACACGAAAATGCGCGTCTCAAAGTCTCAACCTACAAAAAGTCCTAATTGGCTCAAAGTCTCAAAAACGACCTATTTTTGGATTTTCTTCGACTTTGGGAGGTCCATGTTACTGTGAACGTCTGTTAACGAATAAATTATAAATTAGCCTTTTTTTGATTTTTCTGTATGATTAAAAGAGCTACCACCTAAAAAAAAAGAGAAAAACGGCTACTGGAGCAAAAATATATTTTTGAAAACCTTTTTTTCAGATTGATGGCGTTGTGGATGCACGGAATCGTGCGCAAGATGCAGCGAGCCTTCAGCAGCAGTCCGAAGATGAACAGTCAGACGCTCTGACCACCGCTTCAGATGTTGGTCAATTCTCCTTCTCCTTTGAATAATCCATCTTCTTTTTTTCTATTCCAGGCCTGAATTGAGTGCGACGACGATGACGGCCTTCTGAAAGATTTCCAATCGTCATTTCATACTCTTCTTCTCTTTATTTTCATTCAATAAATTAGTGTCCTCTGTGCTTTTTTTTCATGTGGAATGAGAAGCTGTGTGAGACGTAAGCTGGGGCTTTCTATGACGTCATCCAGGTGAACGGAAACTCTTGAATCCCAGTACCATTAAAAAGCAGATGAGGAGAAAAATTGATTGATATGAGTTTTTCTGTATCTTCAAAATGAATAAAGTTATGAAGTTGAAAAAAGATGAAAAATATAATTTTTTGAACCCATTTTTCTTTCAATTTTTGAGCTTTTCCCTTTCAACTAATATGATAACAAAACTATTTGGAAGCTGCTCTACCGATAACACTGAAAAAAAAAATCTTTATCGCCAGAAAACTATCTTCTTCTTTGTTAACGTTGAAACTATTATCAATCGATAGAACGTCTCGAAACGAATCTACTGATATACTTCAATTTCTGGTAACTTATCAAAACATCGAGTTTTAAGCTGAGGCAAGTCTGAAGCTTCTGGATGAAGCTCAATCCTTCGGAGACCTATACCATTGAGAAGCTGCCGATGAGACGAATCGAATGATATGATAAGATAAGCTGTAGCTGCTCTGGGAGCCGAGATATGAGTGTTTAAAGTTCTCCATAAAAATTCCGATAGGCGTCAGGTAAAATGCACTTGGTGGGCTGCACCGCGGTGTACTTTTCTGGCGAAAAAGAAAAAGCTCGAAAAAAAGTTTGGATTTTTCAGGTTTTTTCTAGTGTAATCGATAGAGCAGCTTACATATAGTATTGCTATCATATCAGATTGAAGGGAAAAGCTTAAAAAATCGGTGAAAAATGGGTCCAAAAAGTCAAATTTTTAGTTTTGAAAGCTTCATAACTTTGCTCGTTTTGAAGATACAGGAGAACTGATAACATCAATCGATTCGTCACATAATCAGCTTTCCAATTATAGAGGTTATCATTTCATTGAGCTTCATCCAGAAGCTTCAGACTTACCTCAGCTTAAACTCGATGTTGTGATGAATTATCAATGAGTGAGATATATCAATTTATGCTTCTCAGAACGCTGTATCGATTGATGATAAATTCAATTTGTACGAAGGAGAAGCTGAGATGTAAACTTCGAATTTCTATGGCGTCATTCAGATTGATCAAAACTCTTGAAATCTTTTATCATTAGAAAGGTGATAATGAGACAAATTGATCGATATAATCAGTTCTTCTGTATCTTCAATTTGAACAAAGTTATGGAGCCTCAAAAACTGAAAAATGCGACTTTTCGGACCCATTATTCACGGAATTTTTGAGCTTCTTCCCTTTAATCTGATATGACAACAGTACTATATGAAAGCTGCTCTATCGATTACACTTGAAAAAACTTGAAAAATCCAAACTTTTTCTTGAGCTTCTGCGTTTTCGCCAGAGAAGTACACCGCGGTGCAGCCCACCAAGTGCATTTTATCTGACGCCTATCGTAATTTTAATGGTGAACTTTAAACCCTTATATCTCGGCTCCCAGAGCACATACGCCTTATCTAATCATATCAATCGATTCGTCGCATCGTCAGCTTCTCAATGGTATAGGTCTGTAAATGATTGAGCTTCATCCAAAAGCTTAACGTTCAAAACTTTGAACATTCATAACTTTATTCCTAGGAAGTTAGGAACTTCAAGACCTAGTTTTTCTTGCTCCTTTCAATCTCGTCTAACGGCTGATAATGATTTCAACCAGTTTTGAAATTCGACCTCAAAGTTTGATCGCCTATAACTAAGTTCCTACTTGACCTACGGGGGTCAAACCTGGCCTCCGGTTATTTTCTCGACGAGATCCATCGATTGATGTAGGTTTCGTCCAGATCGGCTTCCATGACCTCAGAAGCTCGAAAAAAACGTAAGGGGTTAGACTGTACTTTTTTCGATTTTCCCGAAAATCAAAATTTCCGAGATTTTTACATCAATCGATAGGAAAATGACGTCAGAAATCTGAAAATCTAGATCAAAAAGTTCTTGAACGCCAAGAAAAAAAGTTATGATTTTTCAAAGTTGTTCGTTTTCCTCTAAAGAGCTCAAAACTCTTGAAGACGAAGATCATTAAAAAGCTCATAATGAGGCAAATCGATTGACATATTCAGTTTCTGTCAAACTTCAAAATGAACGGAGATATGGATCTCCAAAACCACAAATTTACGACTTTTTGGACTCATTTTTTACCAAATTTTTAAGCTTCTCCCTTCAATCTGATATGATAACAGTACTATATGAAAGCTGCTCTATCAATCACACTAGAAAAAACTTGAAAAAAACGAACTTTTTTTTGAGCTTCTGCTTTTTCGCCAGAAAAGTACACCGCGGTGCAGCCCACCAAGTGCATTTTATCTGACGCCTATCGAAATTTTAATGGTGAACTTCAAACGCTTATATCTCGGCTCCTAGAGCAGCTACAGCTTATCTAATTATATCAATCGATTCGTCTCATCGGCAGCTTTACAATGATATAGGTTATTATTTCATTGAGCTTCATCCAGAAGCTTCAGACTTGCCTCAGCTTAAAACTCGATGTTTTGATAAGTTATCAGAAATTGAGGCATATCACTAGATTCCTCTCAGAACGCTCTATGGTTTGATTATCATTCCAAAACAAATGAATGAGAAGCTGAGATATAAGCTGGACCTTTCTATGACGTCATCCAGTTTGATGGAAACTCTTGAAGCCCTATATCATTAGAAAGCTGATAACAAGACAAATCGATTAATGTAATCAGTTCTTTCGTATCTTCAAATGAACAAAGTTATGGAGCTTCAAAATCTGAAAAATACGACTTTTCGGCCCCATTTTTCACCAAAGTTTTGAGCTTTTCCCTTCCACCTGATATGATAACCGATTCAACCATAAAAAATACTGACATCGAAAATTCGCTTTTTTCTGGAAGCTGCGTCATCAAAACACTTTTTTCACGTGAAAAACAAAGAAAACTCAATTTCGACATTTTTATCGCCGCAAAACGTGTATTTGATATATACACAACGAAAATTCAATCTAGAACATGGAAAAAAAAGAAAGAAAGAAGAGAGAGAAAGAAGTTCCGGGAGACAAGAAAGAGTCAACAAAAACAGTGGAGGGTGAGAGAAATGAAATTCGGAATGAGACAAGGGCCGAAAAATGGGAAAAGCTTAAGCTTTATTGCAACTAAATTAAGGAAGGTTTTGATTTTCTTATTTCTTTGTAAGAGACGAACAATAATCATGATAATTAAAATAAGCAGATTTTTCCCAAGAGGAAAAAATTTAAGATAAGGAGAAGCAACTTTTTTCGCTGGCCGAACAAAATTGCTCTCGCGGGACACGTCAAAAAAAGAAAAAATTCAATTTCAATATTTTTTTTCCAATGAAAAAAGGCCTAAAAAACTACGACACACAGACAAATATGTACAGTCATGTCATTTGCAGGAGAGAAAAAGAAGCTCTTTGTTTAGAACAAAATAAATAATAATGAAGACAAACCCACAAGAAGAAGTAGTAGTAGTGAAATTTTACAACGCAAAAAGAGAGTTTTTGGTTGAGTTTGATGGAGAAAAAAGAAGGAGATTATTATTAGTTGGCTTACAATCAAATAACAAAGAAAAGAAGACTTCGAAAGCGCTCAGAAACGAGAATCATCTTGGACATTTGTATTATTTCGATGAGGAAAAAAATGATAAATAATCATGAAAAAAAAAACAAATACAAAGCAAGGTGAAAATAGTACAAAGTAGCCTAATTAAATGGGCACACAAACAAAAAAATGGGGGGTTAAAAATTATATAATGAAGAAAAAAAAAATTGGCGTTGAACCGTAGGAATTCAGGTGCAAAAATTATGCGCGGTTTTTTTTTTAGATTGGATTAACACGTCGATAATGATGGCCCAGTACTTCGGAATCACTGAAAATTGAGAAAATTAGTTTGAAAATGGAAGAAAAAATAACTACGAATCGATTTTCTGTTGAAATTCCAACACCAAAGCCCTCAGAAACTCAAAAATTAGTGAGGAAAGGAAGAAAAAAAAAAGCTTGTTTATTGAAATTTTAGCTTGCAACTTAAAATAGATCCCTAACTTTCAAAGTAGAAGGTATTAGGATCGTCCAATAGATCATTGAATTTATTCAGATTATCTCTCCAAACAGTAAAAATCTTATAAGCATCCAAAATTTGTGAAAAAAGCACTAAAAGTCTCGAAAAACGCTTCAAATCATGTTTCATGCCCTTATAAGTTCACGAAAAGCCTGATGCCTTAAGTTTAAAGAGTTCAAGCTTAAAATTCGAGTGCAGAAAAATCCACTGAAAGTTAGAGTATTTGGCCTTAAAATTCTCTTTCGATTTGGGAAAAGCAGAAGAGAGCTGAAAAACTTCTCAGAAAACCCGAGTAAAATTTGAAAATCATGAAAAACAAGCACCTGAATCTCATTGTAGAAGGCTCAAAACGCTGAAAAGTCACGGTAAAACTCAAAAATCCAGCTAAACCTCAAAATTCGATCTCATTCGCTAGGAGCCTCAGAAAGCAGCTTAAAACCTCCAAATCATAAATTTAGATGCGCCGATTTTCATGCCATAGAAATCCGTTCAACAAGCCCCTAGATCTTAACAGGTGAATCTAAAAATCTTCCAAAAAAAGACTCATTTCCATGCTCCGAAAGCCCCTAAAGCCCTTAGAAAACTAAAAAATCGACATGCAGCGGACAGGAGAGAGAGAGAAAGAGAAGGAGGCCGTCAACAGAGAGAACAAAATTACTCACCAACAAAAAAGAATGGAAAACGAGAGCCAACATAACCACAACCGCCCATCAACACCTCATATACACATGTCACGTTGTTCAGAAGACGTCGTCGTCGAGAATTCAGAAGACGTGGTCAAGAGGAAATAACGGGGGTTGCTGTTCTAGAACTTTTTCCTCATCGCGGCGGCTGCGGCGTTGACATTCATCGCCTCGAAGTGCTTGGCCAGCTACAAAATAAAAAAACCAACTACTACGGCCATCACAAAAAAAAAAAGAAAAGAGAAGAGACACGACTAATTTTTCGGTGAGAAAAAAAAAGATAGAGTCCATTTTAATCAATATTTCCTTAATTCCAAAGCAAAGCTATTCATCTAGACCTTGAAAAGTTCTAAAATGTCTGGCAAAACTCATGAATCGCTTTGGGTTCTAAAAATTGATAGATAGTTCTGAAAGTGACAGTCTCAGACAGAACTTTTTGATAAAAATTAACTTCTGGAGCGTTTCAAAAACGATAGATATCATTGAATAGACCTTAGCCAATCGTGAAAAGTTTGAAATTATCCGAAAATTAACAGAAAATGTATGAAAGTCTTAAGAATGGAAAAAATCAGAAAGAAAGTCACTTGTTTACTGAAACCAACTCAACCTCAAAACCCTTTCAGAAGCCAGTTTAGCCTTTAAAATAGTTTAGGAAGGCTCTAAATTGTTCTGGAGAGCTTTAAACTACCGAATAAACTTTAAAAAAAAATCAAAGGAGCCAGACTATCTTGCTCAAAAATTCTGAAGCCTACCTAAAAAAGCGTCGTCACTTGGATACAACTTTTCCAAAAATCTTATACCTTTCCAAAAAAAAGAAAAGCTGAGCGCTTCAAAAAGATTATAAACTCAAAAACCGCCTCAGAACATTCTCAAGCTGTTCAGGACTGAAATAAGCTTAAAAGACAAGAATATCTAAAGTTCAAACATGGACAAAGCTTCTCAATAAGATCAAAATGACAAATAAATCAAGCTCAAATCCTTCTACCTAATCTTGATGTCCCCCTTCAGAAACTCACATCGCACTGGTCGGCGACCGAGGGATCGACGCTGCCGTCGTCTCTCCGCGGCGGGCACGGGAGCCGTCGTCGGAGCCACTGATGTTTGAGGGCCTGGGCGGGCGTCATTCGGGTCTCCGGGTCCCAGTCGAGACACCGGCGGAGGAAGTCGATGAAGAGGTCGTCGCCCATGTTCTTGAGGGCCGATTGCCAGGGGCGGCTGGCGGGCGGGCCGCGGTGCTTGCCGCGTTTCGACCGCGCCCCGTTCAGGCTCATCGTGCCGTCGGGCATCGCCGTCACGGTACAGTATCTGGGGTAGCCCTTGCTGGAGATGAACGTCCGGACGCGCTTCGCGTGTTCCAGAACCTTCGGCTGCGGGATGCCGAGCAGTTCGATGATCAGGGCGAGCTGGAAAAATGGTTATTTTGAGTTTAGAAGGCGTCGATTTTGAAGCCTACCTGATCGTTCTCATCTTCTCCTGGGAGCAGGGGGTAACCCGTCAGAAGTTCGGCAAGAATACAGCCCAGGGACCACATGTCGATCGGCATTCCGTACTTGGCGCCGAGGATCACTAGAAACATTTTTTCCATTATTATCCAAGAAATTTTAGACTCGACTTTTTTCTCGCGCCTTCAGAACGCAGCAAAGGTTAGGAAAGGAGCGAAACCTATTTTGAAAATACTTGGCCAAAAAATTTCAGTGCGCTTCCAGCCAAAAATAAACCTCAAAACTTCAAAATCTTAAAAAAATACTCCAAATGAATCAATCTGGACTTCAAAGCTTCAAGAAAGCCAAAAAATATTGAGAAAATATTTAGTGGCCACTTTAGGGTTTTGACGTTTTAGTGGCCACTTAAGAGGCTAAAATTCCATGGCCTCTGGTGGATTATAATGTTTCGACTTTTTAGTGGCCTTTATAGAAGTCGAATTAGTGGTCACTTAAGTGGCCCCTCAAAGGTTTCGACGTCCCAGTGGCCACTGTAGTAGTAAAATTAGTGTGCCCTTTAGCGGCTGAAATTTAATGGCCCCTATAGGGTTGGAATTCAGGGTTTTAACGTTCTAGTGGCTACTCAAGTGACCATAATCAAGGGAACACTTTAGTGTCACTTTCAAGTAGTCACTGAGGAGCCCCTTAAGTGGCCACTAAAGCTTTTCTCAGTGGGTTTAAAAGCGGAATACTTCAAAAAACCGCTCAAAATGAGCCAAAATCAGCTAGAAAATTTCTTCTAAATAGTTTTTGAGCTGCAAACTCAAGAGGATATCTACTGAAGAACGTCTCAAAAATTTTGAAAAGCTACAAGATCCCTAAAAGGTAGTTGAAAAGGTTCGGAAGGTTATCTGTCTTCTCTAAATCTTCAATTCTTCCAGCCCTTTTTCCCAACTCAAAGCCCTCGAATCACCTTCAGGAGCCCGGTAGAACCGCGACTGGATATAGGTGTAGATGCGCTGGTCGTCGAAGCAGGACGACCCGAAGTCGATGACCTTGATCCCGCTGCGGCCCTGCTGCTTGAGCAGCACATTTTCGGGCTTCAGGTCGCAGTGGATGAGCCGATTCTTGTGGAGCAGGTCGAGGCAAAGGAGCATCGAGTAGGCGAACTTCCGCACCAACTGGAAACCTCTTTTTTTTCGGATTTTCTGATTTTCTTCGACAAACCATCAAGCTGAATCCCTGGAACTTGTTCTTCTTGATGAGCTCGTAGAGGTTGATGCTCAAAAGTTCGAAGGTGATGCATTTGTGGGATCGGAAGCTGAAATAGTCGAGCATGTGGATGATGTTGTGGGTTCCCTCGGCGTCCTGTCTTCTCAGGTGATCCTGGAAATTAATCAAGGCTTAGGTTAATTTTTGAGAAAGGTTCAGGTAAACCAGGATTCGGATCTCCTCGTCGGCTTGTCTGTGGAAACGCTTCTCATTTCTGACGAGTTTCAGGGCCACGTACTGTTGGTACTTGTGGTCGAAGGCTTTTATGACCTGAATTATGGAAAAATATTGAGAGAAAAATGACTAGAAAAACTAATGAAAACCGACGTTTTTTTGAACAAAACCATAAAAAAATGCCTTATAAATCTTGAAAATTTCAAATTGCCGTAACAATTTGTGACAAAAAAACCTTCGAATTGTAACTTTTAAAAAGGTACAGGTAAGCGATAATAAGTTTTAAAACCTTAATTTTCGGCTAAATAGGGTTATTTTTCAGCTTTAAGCTGTCTAGCTCTCAAAACCTTATCTTTATCTTAAAAAAATTTCTTTTTTTAAAAATTTGCGAAAAATACTCCTCTCAAAGTCCCAAAAAAACCTCAAAAAAACCATGCTTTTTGAGCTTCCTAGCTCTCCGAAATTCCTCCTAGGGTAAAAATCAACATTTTTTTTTCATTAATAGTTTTCTTCAATTTATCAGGATCTCATGAGGTTAAAAAGCTTTAAGAACCTCGCTTTGTAATTTTTTTTTTCCCTTTAAAATCTCTTCCTCGTGTCTTTAATATCCTAAAAAACTACAAAAACCTCGCTTTTAGGCTGTTTATCTCTCTAAATCTGATACAATTATCTCTCAAAGTCTCAAAAAACCTTAAAAAGCTTAAATTTTCGCTTTTCGAGTTGTCTAGTTATCAAAATCTCCTTCTACGATCCCATATAGCCTCCAAAAACTTGGAAAACCTCGTTTCTGAGCTTTCTAGCTCTCAAAACCTGCTTCTATGGTCTCTCAAAGTTTCAAAAAACCCCTAAAAAGGTCAAATTTCCGCTTTTCGAGTTGTCTAACCCTCAAAACCTCCTTCTAAGAACTTCCAGAGCCTTTAAACACCTTGAAAACGTCTTTTTTTGTACTTTCTAGCTCTCAAAACCTGCTCCTAAGATCGAGAACCGACGAAAAAAGTGGCATACCTGTCCGAAAGAGCCCTTGCCGATGACCTTGAGGACCTCGTAGCGGTAGGCGACGTGGTCGTGGGCGACCAGCTGATAGGAGCCGTTCTCGTCGTCGTAGCCGCAGTTGTTGGGGCCGCCGATGACGCCGCCGCGTTTCTTCGCCTGCGAGCCGACGAAAAACACGCGAACGTAGTTGAAGATCTCGTTCTGCTCGTAGGGGAGAAGTTTGGCGCCAAAGGTCTGCACCGCGTCTTCCGGCCGGAATCCCTGAGCCTAATGTGGTTGTAAACTGGGTAGGGTTGGATTCTTGGAAGAAGAAATTAAAATTTTCGATCGTCCTAGGAATTTCAGTGTGGTCCCTATGGGGATTAGGGGATAAACAGGCTCAAAAGACGCCAAAAAAGTGGTTCCTATAGGGGTTTAGGGTCTGACCCCTTAGCCCCTTAAGTGGTCCCTATATGGGTCTTTCAATTCCAGTTTAAAACGCTTATTTATTCAATTTTTCTTCGCCGCATAGAGTACATAAAAAATTATCGACTAGCATGACCCCTATAGGGGTTCTTAAAGTGGTCCCTAAAGGGGTTTTGTAAAAAAAAATCAGTTTCTAAAGCCTTTTTTGGAAAATGAGCGAAAAAGGAGCTGACTTCTTGGAAGAAAAATTCGATTTTTAGACGATTTTCTAGACCTTTTTCGTGAAAAATTCGTTTTCTAACGCTGAACTCAGTATTTAGAAAAATATCACTGTAAAATGGAGTTTTTCTTGGAAAAATTTGGGTCAAAGGTCGATTTTTCATGAAAAAAACGAGTTGTGTTAACTTTTTTTGAACAAGTGACAACTTTAGGGAGGACCTTGTTAATCTAAAAAGTATAATTCTCATGTTCGAGATATTGAAAAAAAGCAAGAAGAAAAGTATTTGTATCAATATTAAAACAGGAAACCGCCGGAAAAACGTCATTTTTTTAAGAAAGTCATTTTTTTGAGCTTCCAATATATTATTTACATAGTTTTTCTGGTCGTCTATTCTAAGAAAAAGAATTTGAAGAAAAAAAGTCTTTTTTTCTTCAAATTCTATCAATTTTGAACCTTTGGAATCGTGTTTTCTTCCATAAAATCCCTAAAAAGCACCAAATTTTCCTATGAAAAATGTCATTTCCATCACTTTCTCTATACAAAATCTTCCGAATTTTCTACTGAGACTACTCGTTTTCTGAATTTAATACCTTGTTGGCTCCACCCGTCGAGTTTGTACCAGTAGAATTTGAATTATGACCACCATTACTGCCGCCGGACGACGATGTGTGGGATCTGGAAAACCGAAAAAAATTCGAAAAAAATCAAAAAAATAAATTTAATAAACCCCCGAAAAATATATAATCCTTATAATCTTATCAATCAAACGAATCAGCTCGAAAAAGTGAGCCGGATCATTTTTGACGTTATCAATAATAATGAAAACAATGAATAATAATCCCTAATCGGCTTAATTTTCAAGAAGGAACGTCACAAAATTATAATAAAAGCCGAATATTTAGCAAATAATGACATTTTCGAAGATCACAGCTTACTTTATATCAAGAAAAAAGGCTTGAAACATGAAAAATCGTCCAGAATTCAGAAAAAAACTTTATTTTCGAAGAACTATGGTCTCATTTTCATTGAGTGATCACAAAAATGATGGAAAATTTTTAGGGGTCTTTAAAAGATCCTAATGCCCAGAAAAAAAAAATGGTTACGACTTCTCAACCATCTAATAACGCTTCTAAAGCCTTCGCCAGCTCAGAAATCATATTATCAATTTTTTGAGCGCAGGAGTTTTAAACGTCTCCAAAAAGATTCTAGTTACAGTTTCCCAGTTCAGAAGAACAATTGTGACTTCTCAAGTTTCTGATGATGTTCTCAAAGCCTTCAGAACTAAATTATTAACATTTTAGGGCTGAAAAGCTCCTAAAATCCGACTGAAGACGTCCTGAAGGTCATGAAAGCCTTCCTACTTATTTAGAATCATTCGAATTACGGTTTCGAGGCTTGAGCTTCTACAGATGATCAACTACAGACCTTCTAGAAGCCTTCAGAACTTTCAGACTTTCTCAAGGTCTTCAGAATCAGTCGATCTACGAGGTCGGGCTTTTACAGATCAACTACAGACTTTCTAAAAACCTTAAGAACTTTCAGACCTTTTCAAGGTCTTCAGAATCAGTCGATCTATGAGGTCGGGCTTCTACAGATCAACTACAGACCTTCTGAAAGCCTACAGAACTCTCAAACTTTCTCAAAGCCTTCCCAATCATTTAATCTACGAGGTCGGGCTTCTACAGATCAACTACAGACCTTCTGAAAGCCTACAGAACTCTCAAACTTTCTCAAAGCCTTCCCATTCATTTAATCTACGAGGTCGGGCTTCTACAGATCAACTACAGACCTTCTGAAAGCCTACAAAACTCTCAAACTTTCTCAAAGCCTTTCCAATCATTTGATCTACAAGGTCGGACTTCTACAGATCAACTACAGACCTTCTGAAAGTCTTTAGAACTATCAGACATTCTCAAAGCCTTCCTAATCGTTTGATCTACAAGCTCAAACTTCTACAGATCAACTACAGCCCTCGTTCTCAAACACAACATTCTTCCTCCTAGCCCTCTGATTGAGCTCAAGATCTTCTACTGCGCGCACCTCAACGACTCGTCGCTGGGGCTCTTGGCCATCTTATGGCGCTGGGAGGACGATGCCGACGAGGTCGTCTCGACCGAAGGAAGGGAGGAGAGGGCGGAGACGCTGGCCGAGAGGTGTTTGCCGCCGACGGCGCTGCTCCCGCCGATCACCGACGACGTCAGTCCGCCGCTGCCCGTTCCGAGGCCGCCCGAGGAGGACGATACTGATGAGCCTGCAAATCACGAGATTATTAAAAGGATGTAACTTGAGAATCATTTAATTTAATAGTTCTTATTCGCTACAATCCTCTTAAGAAGACACTTGAAACGGCTCAAAAACCTTTCCGGTGGGCGAAAGTCGTTTTAAGTCGGTTGCACCGGAAACCAAAAAAAAAAAACCGTATGACCTCTCTGCGCTCTCTTTATTCCATTTCATCTCGCCGGTGAGAGAAAAGAGAGCGCAGACAGGTCATACCGTTCCAAATTATCTCATGACTAAATCCTTAAAATCCTTAAGACCGCACTTGGAATGACTCGAAAGTCGTTTTGAGTCGGTTGCACCGGTAACCGACTAAAAATGACTCGGATAAGTCAACTATAGACTTGAAATGAGTGAAAGGCGCGGGAACCGTTTCACGGTCGGTTGCACTGCTAATCAATCGAAAACCTAGCCATTCCAAATGCGGCCTTTTTCTCAAGAAACTTCATAATTCTTCAGAAAAGAAATTGCGCTTCGGATCATTTGCCCCGTTCGAAAATTCTCCCACGAGAACCCATAAAACCATTTTTTTTCTTTTTTTTTTGCCTGAGAACCGAGCAAATAGATAAAAGGGTGTTCGTACGCAATACGTGTAGTACAAGCAAACAGAAAAGCTTGGAAAAAAAAAATGACGCAGTTAATCTTGAAAAGTTGAACGAAAAGGTCAAAATTTGCACATACTTGTCTGAATTTTTGGAAAAATTGAGCATTTTTCAGCTCCTAGAATCTCAAAAAATCATTGAAAATTCCCATTATAATGATAAAAAGCCACATTTTCTGTCAATTTTCCATATTCTCACTAAAAAATTCCTCAAAAACTCACGTAATACCCTACAAACTTTCCCCTTTCTCCTTAGAGCAAATTTGCTTAAAACAAACAATTTTTTGCACCCATTGCAAACACGACAAAGAATGTAGTTTGAGAACAGTCAACGAAAAATCTCATAATCTGCTTAAAAACGTAAAAATTAACGTTGAGAGGCGCCTAAAAACTAAAAAAATCGGCTAAAGAGCAATTTTCGCTTGGCTACGTTGCTCCATGGCAACACGGTCGATAGTGGAAAAAAAATTTGATGATTTTGAATGAGAAAAACATGTAAATGAAAGCTTTATAAAGCTGAAATCAATATTTTAAATATTTCAAAAAAAGTAAACTGTTTGAAATTATCAACTTTCACTTGAAAAATATCAATTTATAATTCTAAAAACCACCAAATCTATCAAAAACCTCCACCAAAAGCCAAAATCCTTCAGAAATAGACCCTTAATCATCAACTTTTCCCTTCTCACATCAAATGAAAAGGGGAAAAAAGCGGATTGACGCAAATCCGCCCAAATTCCTCATTTTGTAGCATTTCCTGCTTCTTCTCCTGGTTTATTTATGGACGTGAAACTACAAAATGACTGAATACAACACGAAATGATGCAAACTCGTGGTGAAAAATTCAAAATGACACGATTCTAATCGGGTTTTTGTTTTCTATTTTTAAATTTTTGGAAGAAAAATTCTTCATTTTCGAGAATTCCCAGTTTGAAAATGAGAGATTTTCTGAATTTCCTGATAAAAATTCAAGTTTCAAAGCCAAAAACGAAAAAAGTGGGTTTTTTTTCTCTCATGAAAGCTGAAAACCCGATCGAAACTCCATTTTCAAGCCTAAATTACTTGAAAAAATGGTTTTTTTTTCCATTAGAACTTCAAATCGTAACTGGAAAATTAACTATACGTGACTCTTTAAGGCCATAAAACTTCGTAATGACCTTAAATTTCCGAAAAAAAAGAACTAAAAATCGATCTTCCAACTCGAAAATTACGAAAAAAAAAACTGCTCGTTTTATAACGAATTTTTCAATTTTCACACAAAAATCAAACTAAAAATCGGTCTTTCCGTCGAAAAATAGCTTATTTTTCCTCAATTTCACTCAAAAATCAACTGAAATTTATTTTTCCAACCCCGAAAGCTTCAAAATGTGACCTTAAAATCGCTCTTCCCAGACCAACATACCCAAAAAATGGCATCTTTTCTACCAAATGTTCCCAAATTCCCACTCCAAGAACCAGAAGAACTCCCACTGAAAACGAGCTTCAAAAAAAGGGGAAGACGGAGTGAAAAGCGAGGCGGCCTTTTGTTAATTACTTCTGGCACATGAGTTAATTCATTCTCAGCTTCTGTCAGTCTGGGAGGCTTCGAAATCGATTTTCTTCATTTCTCGAATTTTTCGCGAAAAATCTGCCCCGAAAAAAGCCGACTTGTGGAACGCCCCGTGCAAATCATTGAATATTCAAACGGAGGCCGTAAAAACGACGTCGGCCGATGAAAAAATCTCTTTTCGGCGCTCGTTTTTCCTACGTCAAAAGCCCGAAAATTTGATCATCAAGTATTTTTCTTTTTTCGAAAGTTCACGGCGTTCTTTGAGCCCTTCTCAGTCGAAAAAAAAAACGATTTTTGAAAATTTTCACGATAATTAGTTCAAAAATCGTTACTTCTGTATCTGCGTTAGAAAATATGACTATTTAACAAGAAAAGGAGGAAAAATTGAGCTCATTTTTCAAATTTTCACGATAAATATTTCAGAAAATGGAAAATTCTAGATCTCTACTGCAAAATTTGACTATTAAAGCACTTCAAAACAGAAATTTTTCCTGAAAAAACCAAAAATTTTCTTAAAACTCTCCAATTTCTAGTCCAATCCCATCCTAACCATGCAAGAATAAATCTCAAAAATCCCCTCATTTTCCTGCAAAAAACGTGCGGATCCGCACTTCCTTATCACAGAAAACCGCAACTTTACAAAAAGTTCAAGGAAAAAAAAAGGTTCCCCACTACGCCAGTGCTATCCTATCCATTACGCGAGAGGAGAAAGTTCTTTTTTTTTTCGAGGGGGCCGAAATTCGAGCAGCCGGCCTCATTAGCCTGATGGCCGTCGAGGCTTTTCCTTGCGACGATAGCCAATATCCCCCCTATTTCTTTGTCCCTTTCATCATTCGGCCAGAAATCTCGAGCCAACAAATATATATATGCTCCTCTCAATTCTTTTCTTCATTTTAACCAAAGACCAGTTAATCAAAAAAGGGAAAAAAAATGGCTTGAAAAGGAGCTTTTTTCGTGGCATCAACATCATTAGGAAGATTCAAAGTTTTGATTTTTTGATGACACAAAAATTTAGAAAAAAGCGGAATAGTTCAATTTAATCACCTAAAAAGAGTTAAAATTGAAGATCATATCATTTTCGACAAGAAAATTGGCAAAATTTTCATTTGGAAAAAAACCTCATTTTTGTTCAAAAAAATAACACTAAATTTTTTTATAATCTACCATTAAAAATTCAAAAAAATAAAGGCCTTTCTTAACGAATGTAACGAAAAATAGGCAAAACCAAAAAAATTCTCCTGTTTTTTTTCGATTAAGAACTATACCAAAAAAATCATTTTGAAACGATTTTTTTCAAAAAAATCTTCTGAAAAATAAAGAAAAAAATTTTTGTCCGTTCAAATTTCTATACAAAAAAACAAGAAAAAAATGAATTAAAGTTACTATTCGCATTATAAAAACGTCCGTTCTTTCATATTCCATAACCTGAATCCCTTTTGTATCCTCATAAAGAAGCTAGAGCCCAAAAAAAAACAGCCTTTTTCACAAAATAACTTCAAAATAGGCTTTTTCCATGAAAATTCGAGTTATTTCTTCAAAAAGTCCACAGAATCACTCAACAAACCTCGAAAACGGTAGGCAGACGTGGACGGTTCAAAGAGCGTCATTTGGAGCGTTGGAAAAGGAAAAACAATGGGATTATTAACGCGCCCAACTGCCCTCGGTCCAGTACAAATTCACTTAAAAAAACGAAAAAAATAAAAAAATATATTAAAATGATCGAGAAACACGAGAAACGAGGTGTGGATTGGAATAAAATGAAGCGGATAAGGAGAACGAGGAAAGAAAAAAATTAAGACGAATGAATAATCCATTGACGCAGGGGCTCAGACGTTCTCCCGTTTTTTTCCGTCCCCTTCTACGCCAATAACAAAAAGTCCATCATAAGAAGAAGAAGAAGCCGGAAATGCTCCCACTCACACAAAAATAATATATACATCTTCTTATTCCCCCTTTTTTGGTTCCTTATATGACTCGATTTGGGGCGTTCTACTGTATAATAGCATCCGAAAAAGCTCGTTTGTAGGTTGATTTACCTAAAAAATGTTTAAAAGCAAAAATATTGTGATTAATAACTTTCCACTCCGTCCAGTGAGCATATTGTACACAAAAAATGATCTTTCAACGTAAAAAATGAAGAAAAAAGTCCCTGGGACTGTAAAAATCGGCAAAATCTTCAAGTAATAACAAAATTTACCATCAAATACAGCCTGGAAAACCAAAAAAAGACCTCAACTTCATAAAAAATTTAAAAAATAAGCAACTTCTCGCTTCCAATAACCGAAATAACACAAAAACTGAAAAGCCAAATCTTTTGAACTATACGAAAACTTTCAATTTTTTCCTAAAAACACGATATCCTTTCTTAACGTAACTAAATTCAATATCTGAAAAACCTTTTTAAATAATTTCGAAAAAAACGAAGAACGAGCAAAAAAATACAATTTTTTTACAACTACGCCACAGTTTTGCTCTACAGAGACTGAGCGGGAAAAGAGACTAACCATTTTCATAAATTCCAAGCCCATTACCCGTCAAATTTCACAATTTCCATATCAAAAAGGGTCTTCTCTATTCGCCCACACAATGAACGGAAGAATAAAGACTATTATCTACATTCATCATCTGAAACGCCTCCGAAACAAAAAATAAAGAAGGAAAAAAAAAGAGGCCTCGGGCTTCCTGGAATTCCCAAAGGTAATTTAGCAAAGAACGAGGAAAAAAAAGACGGAGGAAAATCGAAAAGAAACGCGTAAAAACTATACAAAACCTTCGTGTTTGTACAAATATTTGTTATCAACTAGTAAAAACTTCCCCAAAACAGTTCAGTGAGCGGAAAAACTAGTAAATATCGACTCTCCAATAAGCTGGAACCAAAAGCAAACGGTTATACAGCGATAAGAACGTAAAGAAACTAAAAAGGTGATAGGAAAACGATGAAAATTTGAAATTCTCGTATGCGCGCCAGTACGAAAAAGTTCACTACACCGTGACGCAATAAAACATACTATTTAAAAGAAAAGATTTCCATCTAACCTCGTAATTTTTCAAGGTTGGGCAGCTGCGTTTCGATTCGTACACACTTTTTGTTTCGCGTCATTTTACGATTTCCCGCGGTTGAAATATGTATGCGTTCTCATAAAAACGGGCTTTTTTCATGGAATCGTACTAGTTCTTAGAATAAAATTACAGATAATGCTTGTTTCACACACAATTTTATCACGCGAGAAAGATATTAGCCATATTTTGGACAGTAAAAAGAGTTAAAGACGTCGTAAAACATTGGAATTGGTTCAAAATGAACAAATTTGATTTTTCAAACACTCCAAAAGAGGCAAAAAGGCCCAAAATCCTAGAACCTATAATTTAATCACACATATCTTGAACAGAGGGTCGTTAAATTTGATATTATATCTTGAAAAGCTTCAAAATTTATAAAATTCCATTGAAAAGGTTCAGAAAATCTTCAAAATACCGTCAAGCTGAACAGATTTTGGCCTGAAAAAGCAAAAATTCGATAAAATCGCAAGAAAATGCCAAAAACTTCCATCAGTGTTTCAGAAGCAGCTGCTACCTGCGCGGGTACAGTCATATCGGATTTTTTTAGAACTACATAAAGTCATATAAAATCGGCAAAAACCCTAAAAACTACAGGAAAAATCTAAAATTCCGAGTCAAGTTCATTATAAACCTGAAAAAGGCGCAAAATCCTTGAAAAGTTGAATCGAAAAAAACCCAGATCTCAAAAAACTTCAGAACAAGCCTAGACTACCTAACCAATAAAGCACATAACCGATGGAAAAGGCACAAAATCCGTCCGAAACGAAACGCGTCGTGGGAAAGACGCCAATATCTGCCAGCGGTCGGACGGCCGGCCGTCCCGGCCATCTCTCGTCGGCGAGACGCAGACATGGGAAGAAAGAGCCACTGAAGAGTGGACGTTCCGAGCGAGGTCGCGAGACGCAGACGACGGGGGGGGAGGCGTGGCCGCGCACCCTGATGCTAAGAAGAAGAAGAAGAAGAGCTCGACGGCGTGGCCTTCGTTAGAGAGACGAGGGCAGAGAAATAAGGAGGGGGGGAGGATTAACACCCATCGGTCATCGGCTTTTACAATTCCACTCTGTTGAGGGGGAGCCAGGCCAATGTTACGCTAATTTCCGGGATTTTCCCTAAGAATTTCAGGTCAGCTCATTTTTCTTCCTTGAAAATCATAAGAAGATTGATGTCCTTTTTTGATGCTTCCTTGAAAAAAAATCAAAATGAAGAGTGACATGGTTCAAGAATGTAAATTTCTCGATTCCCAAGCTCAAAAATGCAGAAAAGTTATCCTTTCTTATTTTTAGTACAGCTTCCTTGACCTCTTAAAGTTCAGGAATGGGAAATATGATCCTAACTAAGTGAGATATGAGAAGCTGGAGCTCTTCTATAGCCGTTCTGAGGGAAAATAAGAATATTTTCGAACGGGTAAGCTCAATTTTTGGGGCTAGACCTGCTTGTCAAACTCAAAGGTACCTTCCAAAACTTTAAATTCTTCATTTCTCCCAGGGAAAGTGAACTTTAAGCGTCAGAATTCAGAAAAATCGATACCGAGCTCTCAATTTCAGAAGGGCGGCCAACACGAGGCAGTTATTCACGTCGTCAAATGGGTGTATAATTTCCTTTCTCCCTCTCGTTTCGGTTGGAGCAGACGGCGATGATGGTGCACCCCCAATTTGAAAGAAGCAAAGTGTTGGTGCCCCCCTTTTTCGGATCCCCAGGAGACGACCCCCGACGCCGCATGTCACACACACACACAGGACACTTACACGCAGAGGCTAGCACCAAAATTGTTCGGTCATGTGTCACCTTCTTTTTTTTTTTGGCGGCAGTGATGGTCCACAAGGGATTAGTTGTAGGGTCTTTAGAAGTCTTCCGGCTTGATAGAGCTTTCAGAAGTTCTTTCAGACTTCAGAAACCGAACTTTTGGATTTCAAGGCTCCACAAGGTGTTGGGAGTCTTCAGAAGTCTCTTTCGATTTTTTAAAAAAAGCTTTCCGATGTTGCTTGAATCTACAAACCATGAATTTCCTAGGATTCTAAGGATTATACAACGATTTTCAAGAGGTTCGAAGCTTCAAAACTCTTCCGGCTTGATCTTTTTGATGGGATAGAGCATCCAGAAGTTCTTTCAGATTTTTGGAATCGAACTTTTGGATTTTAAGGCTTCACAAGGGGTTAGTGATTGCAGCTTGATCTTTCAAAAAGATAGAACTTTTCGAAGTTTCTTCAATCGAAAATCCACGAATTTTTCAGGGTCCGAAGAGTTATCTAACGTTTTTCCGGTGGTTAAAGACCTCAAAATGGTTCCGGCTCAATCAGGAGAAAAAGATGATAACTTCAGAATTTTAAAAATAAGAAAAACGAAAAAAAAAAAATCGTTTACGTGAGATAAATGAGATTCAGTTGAGCTTTTCAGGTCATCAGAAGTCTTCCGACTTGACTTTTTTGTGAGAAAACAGTTTCTAGGAGTCCCTCAGGATAATGAAATTCAAAAACATGTAAGAAATTCTTATTAAGAGCCCTTATATAAAAATTCCGAAGCTTCTAAAAATATCTAAACCCTAAAATTTGACCTTCTCGAAAGTGCGTGAGAATTCCCATCTCACTTCGAACCTGACCTTTTTCGGAACAAAGACCAAGAATTTAGGAAATAATTGAGGTGTCTAAAATACTTGAGAACCTGCATAGTGCATACGCCCTGCACTTTATTCAAAGGATGATTAAAAAAAGGTCTTTGACGAATTTTTGAAGGTTCATGAGAAGTAAAATGACATTTTGAAAAATTCTAACCTGTAGGAAATTTTTTTAAAAAGAACAAATATGGAGCTAATAGAACCTTAAAAAAAGTGAAGAACGGGTTAGAAAAAAATTCGCCTTAAAAACTCAAGAACTCAAAAATCTCAAAAAAACTTTTTTTTCATTGGCAAAAGCAGCAAACTTGATCTTTAGAACTTCCAGACGGTTAGGAAACGCTCTGAAACACTAAAGAACCTCCAAATGTCTCATAAAAATTGCTACAAAAGAAGAAAGGAATTTCCTAGTGTCAAAGAACAATAGAAGGCGTCGAAATTGAAAGAAAAAGCTGAAGAACCGTCGAAAGTTAATGAAACCTTGGCTACAAAGAAGACTTAGAAGATCTAGAAAGGATACTGGAACTATCTTCAAATTTCCAAGAAGCTAAAAATCGGCTCGAATATTATTAAATCAACCAAGGAGCTCAGAAAACTTGGAAAAGATAACCGAAAATCTTCCAGAAAAGTTCAAAAATTTCAAAAATGACCTAAATTAGTCCAAAAATTGATAGACTAAATGAACTTCAAATTTGCCTAAATCGCTCAAAATCAACCAGGAAGCTTAGAAAACTGGGTGAAATTTTTGCAAAAAGCTCAAAATCTTTGGAAGTTGTGGCAAAAAGTGACGGTAAAGGCTAACTTCGAGACCATCAAACCTCTCAAAAACCTCAAAATAAAATCAAAAAGACCACCAAATCATCAAAAAAGAACAAATGGTAGACAAAGCGGCAGACGTTCGGCAGTTAATGGAATCAACGGCCGTGTTCGCCGGGGCAAATACTGGCTTATTCGTCTGCCGAGACGGGGCGAGCTTGGCAAATAGGCGCAGACCATTTGGTGTGGAGGGGGTTTCCTGGGGGTTCTCCCGGGAGATGAAATAGCCGTTTGGAGGTCTTGTGAAGTGGCTGAGAGGTTCGACAGCTGCATGGTGGTTATTGCAAGCATGGGTCGGCCGGTAGGAGTCCTGCCTTCAAGAAAAGGTGAACTTGATTCAGTTCCGGTTAGTGTTTCCTTCAGAAAATGGGAGCTTGGCTCAACCGGTAGAAGTCTTGTTTTTCCTCATCGTGAGCTTGGTTCAACTCCTGTTCGTGTTTCTTCCGGAAAATGGTTGACTATAAAAGAAGAGTTTGGTTAACCGGTAGAGGTCCTGTCTTCAAGAAGAGATGAGCTTGGTTCGGCTCCAGTTTTCTTCAGAAAATGGGAGCTTGGCTCAACCGGTAGAAGTCTTGTTTTTCCTCATCGTGAGCTTGGTTCAACTCCTGTTCGTGTTTCTTCCGGAAAATGGTTGACTATAAAAGAAGAGTTTGGTTAACCGGTAGAGGTCTTGTCTTCAAGAAGAGATGAGCTTGGTTCGGCTCCAGTTTTCTTCAGAAAATGGGAGCTTGGCTCAACCGGTAGAAGTCTTGTTTTTCCTCATCGTGAGCTTGGTTCAGCTCCTGTCCGGGTTTCTTCCGGAAATGGTTGACAATAAAAGAAGAGTTTGGCTCAACCGGTAGAGGTCCTGTCTTCAAGGAGAGGTGAGCTTGGTTCGGCTCCTGCTTTCTGCTAAAAATGGGAGCTTGGCTCATCCGGTAGAAGCCCTGTCTTCAAATAGAGGTGAGCTTGGTTCAACTCCGGTTAGTGTCTCACTCAGAAAGCGTGAGCTTGGCTCAACCGGTAGAAGTCTTGTTTTTCCTCATCGTGAGCTTGGTTCAACTCCTGTTCGTGTTTCTTCCGGAAAATGGTTGACTATAAAAGAAGAGTTTGGTTAACCGGTAGAGGTCCTGTCTTCAAGAAGAGGTGAGCTTGGTTCGGCACCTGTTAGTGTTTCCTGCAGAAAGGGTGAGCTTGGCTCAACCGGTAGAAGTCTTGTTTTCCCTCATCGTGAGCTTGGTTCAGTTCCTGTTCGTGTTTCTCCAAGTTCAAGGGTCTGATAATAAAAACAGTGAGCTTGGCTCAACCGGTAGTAGTCCTGTTTTCAATCCAGCAACCCGAGTTCAGTTCCTGGTCACGTTTTTGCCAAATTATCTACATTTGATGATTGAAACCAGAAAGAAGCTCAGACAAAAATCTTCAAGCCAAGTAATTTATTTTTTGCAAATAACTTGCTTGTTTCAACCGGTTCAATTCGAAAGACCACAAGCCGAAAATTTTCAAAAAAATCAGCATGGCTCAACCGGATGAGCTCCTCAACTTGGCTCCAAAGCTCTCAAGTTCAATCTCTCGGCAAAAAAGAAAAACGTCAAACAGTACCATGAATACTTGACAAGGCTAGAAAATCAAGATCAATCATTTTACAAAAAAAAATGAATGGTTACTCCGGCAAGACTCTTCAAATTGACTCCAAGACTTAGAAAATAAAAGCAAAAGGTACTTGAAAACCTGTCAATATCAATAAGTGGCCCTCAGAGCCATAAAAGTCAAAGATAACAGAGGAAAAAGTGGCTAGTTCATCAAAAAGATAACAAAAATCAAGAAAAACTGAAGATCACTATTTTCTTTGAAAAAGGTTCTTATAAACAGAATATACTAAAAACGATGCGTCACGGGAAATATATGTGTGGGAGTTGAGAGGATTTGTTTGTTCAATGATAACTCGAACCTAAAAAAATGTGATAACAAAATGATTTTTTTCGAAAAAAACGTTCCTTGATTGAGGGGGCTTTCTGGTTTTTTTAGAAGATCTTATATTTTTTTCCTGCTTTTCCTTCTGAAAAACGATCAGCTGGAGAAAGTGACGCCGATGAATTTTACATGAGATTGACTCGGCACGCCAGCTTTCCGGCAGCCACATGACTTAAAGAAAAGAAGGGAAAAAAATGGTGTTTTGGGAGATTTTTCCGGGGTTTCGTTGGAATTTTCATACTTGAAATTGGAGAAATAGCTCAAAAAGTATAGGAATTTAAGGAAAAATCGGTGAATTTTGCTGGAATGTATCAAAAAATTGGGTTCAGAGTTGAAAAATGAGCATTTTTGAGACTTTGTGTGATAAAGTAACCTCAGAATTTTGACCTATAAAAATCTCAAAAGGCTGAGAATGAACTTCAAGGCTAAACAAACCAGAATGATGTCCAAATCCCCCCTGAAAAAAAATTTAAAAAAATGTTCCAGCTCAATTTTTAACTAGTGAGGTCAAAAAAGGAACTAAACATCTCTAAAAACCTCCAATTTCCTCTGCAAAAAGACGCTCTGAACTAAAGTTCAACAGTACAAACGCGTAAAAAAGAGAAAAAAAGAAAAGAAAGATGAAGCTAATAAGAACAACCAACACTTACTCTCGGGCCAAGGGCAAATATTCGGGGAGAAAACGTGGAAAAAGCACAAAGAACGGTTGGGGTTTAATAGGATCAGACGGTTCAAACGTAAAACTTGGTTTGTTTAAACTCAACTATAAACAGTGTTCGGAATAGGAAAAAAAAACTCGAATTTCGTTGCAATTTAGTTCAAAAACAACAGAAAAAGGGCTGCAAAAACCAGCAAAAATTACTTTTTTTGGGCTAAATTCAAATTTTTATGTTTAAATTTAATCTGCAAGGTTAAAATCTCTTGAAAAATTTAAATTCAAAAAAATGGGATTCTCAATTTCTCGCAATACAATCTCATCATTGAAACGCTGAAATTAAAATTTTGAACTTCTAATTTTTTTAGCAAATTTTTTTCAACTTTAAAAAAACCCATTTGAAGCCCGAAAAATTCCAAATTTACACCAAAAAAATATTGAAATGTGTACATTTTTCATGAACCCTACAGTTTTTACAGCGTTAGAAAACCCATTTGAAGGTTGAAAAATTCCAAATTTTCATCAAAAAATATTAGAATTTGTACATTTTTTTCATGAACCCTACATATTTTTCAGCGTTACAAAACCCAGTTGAAAGTTTAAAAATTCCAAATTTTTATCAAAAAATATAAAAAATCCTTTCGTTTTCAGCATCTACAACACCAAGAAAACCCATTCGAACCTCAAAAAAATTCAAATTTCTATCAAAATCTATCAATTTTTCCCAATTCCCACAAATTTCCAAAGACCTAACCCAATCCAAAAGCTTCCCAAGTCATTGTCAAGGCAACGAAAGCCAAAAATCAGGAGGAAAAAAAAGAACAGAAGTTATAGCAAATGGCATGAGGGGCAAAAAAGGCAGCTGGAACCCGGCAATTTTCCTCCATTTCCTTGAAAGCTAACGGGCAAAAAAAACAGATTTCGTATAGGTTCTTATTACTTGGAGAAAAAAGGGTGGCATTTAGGTTTGGAAAAAAAATTGAGGGTTTTAAAACACAGTTTTATATGGAAAGATCAAGTTTGAGAAAGTTTTTGTTCAATTTTTTTCCTCGAAAATTTGGAAAAATTTCCATTTTCCGCTCAAAAAATCAACTAAAAAATGCTCAAATTCCATTTTCTAAAAAATGATTTTAACCTTTAAAGTTTTCTAACTTTCTTAATTTGCTCGAAACTGTCCTAAAATCAAGCTTCTTCTGCTATTTTTTCGCTTTAAAACATATTTTCCAAAAAAATAAACAAAAAAAGGACGGAAAGGAAGAAGCTTGATGCGGAAAATTGGCTGGGACAAGAAAAAAAAGACCGGGAAGAAATAAAATTTAGCGACGTATTCAGGCTCATCGCTGGTTGCTTGCAAGACACAAATCTTCTTCCTTGCCCGCCCTTTTTCTTCCCATTTTTCCCATTTCTGGGAACATTCTAGTTGATAAAGCATGATGGGCGATGAAACTAGAGACATTTCGAAGGACTGGAAGTTGATTTTAGATGGAAAAATGAAGGAAAATCGTTGAAAAATGGGAGTTTTTAGGACTAAATCCGCCTAAAAATTATTGAAAAGCGGTCTTTTTTCGGATTGTGAACCATTTTCCATATTTCCAGGTAGCTTTTTTTAAAGGTTCCCAGTTAAAATTGCTCCTTTTCATTGAAATTTTTAAATAGAAAGCCTAAAAATCCGAAACAAAGCGTCAAAAATACCTTATTTTTTCAAGGACTTACAACTTTTCCTTCCAAAAAAACGACAAAAAAATCACGACAATTCCCCAAAAAAATTTATATAAATGAACCTAAAACTCTTCTTTCAACTGCAAAATTTCCGAAAAAAAGCTCAAAAAAATTCAAAGTTTCGACTTGAAAAATCCCCTAGAAACCGTGATTTTTTTCTCAGTTTTCAAACTTGATTCACCTTAATTAACCTTCAGAAACCTTAGATTCCCTGAAAATCACTTGAAAACTTCCAGAAGGTCAATATTTAATAAGAAGATTCACTTGCAGCTCGAAAAAATCTTCATGATCTTCTGAACCCGTCCAGTCCTTCAAAAACCCCTAAAAGCCCTTCAGGGACCACTTGTCAACTTGCAAAACCCGAGAAAAGTCCAAAGAGTCCAAGTTCCTGGACTTGCAAGCTCAGGCAGAAAAAAAGGTTCCCAGAAGGCCAATCAGCCCGGAAAAAAACAACAAGACAATGACATTTCTGACAAGATTTGTAGCTGAAAATGTTCAGATGAGCTCAAAAAACCATTCCAAAAATAGAAGTTAGATGTGCAGGTTACAAATTTTTTATAGTTTTAGGGTTCATTTTTCGATTTTTTTCAGTAACATTGAAAGATTTGAAGGCTCAAAAACTTATAAAAGCCATTCCAAAGAATAAGATGTGCAGGTATAATTATCCTTCGAAAGGCGATTTTTCTAGTTTTGTGAGCTCCTCCCTGTGATTTCAAAGCATTTGAAAGCTCAAAAACTCAAAAAAGCCATTCCAAAAACTAAGATGTGCAGGTAACCTTCGAAAGGCGATTTTTCTAGTTTTGTGAGCCCATTCCGATAGTTTCAAAGCGCTGAGAGCTCAAAAAATCCTTTAAAAAACCATTCCAAAGACTAAGATGTGCAGGCTCCCGTCAAAAACTTGATTTTCCCATTTTTGGTCCCACTTTTTTTATTCTAATCCGTTTGTTTTCCATCTTTTTTCTCAAAAAAAACCAAAAAAACAGCTTAAAGGTGTATATTTATGATTACAAGCACACGTACGCATCAACAAGATATATAAATCATCGGTTTCGCGTGCATTCTCCGTCTCACGAATTATTCATCCGGAATTCATGTGCGCGAAAATTTTGCAGCAACCTGGTAATAATTCAAAAAACTCCCAGACCAAGTGGAAGTACGAAGATTTAGTTGAGTACAACTTGGGAAAAATGTCGGTCGCATTTGGAATGGGTCTGGGGCGACGGGGCCTCAAGAATTTTCTGTAGTTGGAATGGTTGAACGCGTCGCGGTCGCGTTGCGGTTCCAAAAGAAGTCAGAACATCCGTCGGTTGCTCCTCGAAAGCAATTATTTACATAGGCAGGGGACCGCATTTGGAATGGCTGTGATGCGTCGCGGTCGCGTTGCGGTTCTATCAGAAGTCAAGACTTCAGTTACTAGTCTCTCTAAAGATAGGAGCAGACTTTTGTTCGTACTTATTGATGTAAGCCTGTGACCGCATTTGGAATGGCTGTGATTTTTATAGGCCTGGGACCATATTCGGAATGGCTTTGATGCGTCGCGGTTCCAACAGAAGTCAAAACTTCAGTCGGTTGCTCCTCGAAAGATAGGAATAGACTTCAATTGGTCGCACTTCTTGACATAGGCAGGGGACCGCATTTGGAATGGCTGTGATTGATATAGGCCTGGGACCGCATTTGGATTGGCTGTGATGCGTCGCGGTCGCGCTGCGGTTCTATCAGAAGTCAAAACTGTAGTTACTTGTCCCTCTAAAGATAGGAATAGACTTCAATTGTTCGCATTTATTGATATAGGCCTGGGATCGCATTTGGAATGGCTGTGATGCGTCGCAGTTCTAAGAAAAGTCAAAAATTCAGTTGTTGGTCCCACTGACGATAGAAGCAGACTTTCGTTCGCACTTCTTGACATAGGCAGAGGACCGCATTTGGAATGGCTGTGATGCGTTGCGGTCGCGTTGCGGTTTCAGAATCAATTTATATTGAGTGCGTTTTTTAAAAAAGGCTAGCAATGGTCGCATTTGGAATGGCTTCTGAAGTCACGATTCGAGATGACCGCATTTGGAATGTCTCTGATTTTTGCCAATCCACATCTAATCAAAAACAAAACTCAAGCTTTCAAAATGAGTACAACCATTTTTTCACCATTTTTAATTGGATCATCAAAACCATAACTTTTTTTCCTTTCCTTGTGACTATAATATTGCCGAGGGGTTGTTGATAAACAAGCCTCCTATCATATCATATCAGAAAGAAGGAACAAAAAACAAGTTTAAAGCACCAGAAACTGATGGAAAAACGTCCGAAAAAGGGGCTTTCAACATATTTTTTTCAGGATTCGGTTCATTTTAAGTTTTTGAAGCTTCGAAAAAAATAAAAATGACCTGGAAAAGCTTGAAATTGTTATTTTGGATCATTTAGAGTCTATTTTCCGCGAAACTTTTGGATAAAACGATTTTTTGACGGTAAAAAAATTTTTTCAATGAAATCTCGAAAAAAAATCCCTTCCAAACCTTGATAAAGCCTCGTGATCGGCACGGCGAACATTTTCAGGAGTTGAAAAACGAAGAACCAGCAGAAATACGCAGAAATCCAAAATTTGCCGGGCAGTTTATTACGTTTGATAGTCCCCCAAAAAGAAGTGTTATCAGTTTCCTTCAGATTTTGCAAAAACGTACAAAACGGCCAATGTTTGCCGCCGAGTAACGGAGGAAATGACCACTAAAGGACAGGGAAAAGTACGTTTTTTGGGGTAGTTTCTGATAAGGCGAGGTTTAAGTGATTAATAATTTAATCTTCTTAATTAGCTTTATAAACTTGCAAAAAGTTTGCAGCTTTTTGAAAGATTATAAATTAATCGAAAATGAGATTTTTTTGATGATTCCGACCCAAAAACTAGTAGAAGATCACCAAAAATTGAGAATTTTACATTTTGAAAAAAATATGAAAATTCGTTGATTTTGCAACAAAAAAATCAAAATTTTTCAACGAAAAATCCATTTTTTTGATTTTTCTTTAACCTTCCAGAAACTGTTATTGATGTTCCAAAATGAACCTTGAACACATAAAATGGTCATAAAAAGTCGTGGAAAATCGGCCAGGACAAATTTTCGGCTTAAAAGGCTTGTAAAACAATTTTGTAGAGGAAATTTAGCATTACGGGACGAATTTTCATTCAAAAACTGTTTATGTAAATTTAGAGAATTACTTAAAATTGCAAGCCAAGAAAATTAGCCGCGGTCCGAAAGAGGCTTAGAAAACGGTAGGGACCCAAAAAGGCTCAAAGAACAGCCGTGGCTCAAAAAAAGCCAAGTTATTCTTGAAAAAAAACTTTCAGAAAATTCTTTCCCAAAAATCATAAAAATTGGATTATTTCGCAATAGCCGTAGTGCAAAAGAGGCTGAGAAAAAGGGAGGAACCGAAAAAAAAGCTAAAAAAAAAACAGCCGTGGCTCAAAAAAAAACTTTGAAGGGCTATTTTCAGATCATTTTGCAATAGCCGTGGTGCAAAAAAGGGCTTAGAAAACGGTAGGGACCAGAAAAAGCTCAGAAGAAAATCTCCTAAAATTCCCAAGAAAAAAAAATCAAACCTCTCAACTCCAGTAAGCTCGAGTACATCGTACCACGCATAGCTCCAATAATTTCAGTAATTTAAATAAAATAACAGAAAGCTTTAGAGATTAGTACTAGCCGAGAAGGAAGCCGAATAAAGGCGAAAAGAAGAGAGAGAAAAATGAGGAGGGGGTGTGAAAAAAGATGGAAAAAAAAGAAGATGAAGAAGAAGACTTTGGAGAAGACGGGGTGTTTATGCCATTTCGGCTCCTACTCAAAGTGTTCTTTTTCTTTTTCCCATTTCCGAGAAGTTGACGGAAAGATATCACTTTCCAGACTTTTCCCAGAGTTGACCGTCTTCTTTTCAATTAGGATACGGTAGGACTAGGGTCATAAAAAATAGCAAGGAACACAAAAAATTAGCCGTAGAGCAACTTAGCCTAAAAAAAATCTTTGAAAACTGTTTGGATTTCAAAGAAGTCGAGAAAAGGCTCAAAAAATCAGCCGCGGTCAAAAAAAATTCTCAAAAAAAGAGCATGAAAAAAATTAGCCGTGGTCCAAACAGCCTGAAAAATGAAGAGGAACCGAAAAAATTAGCCGTAGAGCACATCAGCTTGAAAAAAACGCCTTTGAAAGATTGGCTAGCTTCCAAAATAGACGAGAAACTCAGCCACTGCCATAGGAGGCTCAAAAAATAGCTCGAACCTCGAAAAAGCTTAAAATAATGAATGAACTGTCCGTGGTCCGAAATAGCCGTGAAAAAACAGCCGTGGCTCCAAATATGACCGAAAAATCTAATACCTCCTCTTTCAATACAAAAGTTGACTTTTTTTGCTTCTAAATCCTGAGAAAAAAAAGCCGCGGCTCAAAAAAAGCCTGAGGAAAAATAGCCGTGATCCACCAGGCTTATCAAAATTCAGCTGCAGTCCGAAAAAGTCTGAAAAGTTAGCTGTGGCTAAAAAAAATGTTTCCCAAAGTTTTAACCATTTGGCTAATGACAGTTTTTCATTGAGCTGTAAAAAAAAGTCAAAAAAAGCTTGTGCGCTCCATGGATAATCAGCGGAATTTGCAGTGGAGCGCGAAATCTGCAGATTCTTCTTCTCATCATTTTTTTTATTATTTACGAGGAAGTAATTTCCAAACTCATTAGTCATACTAACTACCGGGAAACCTAGTTTACTTGAAAATTCTTCCTAAACAACAAGTTTTCTTCTTTCAAAGGCCAAAAAAGTCCTACTTTTCATCATTTTTCTCATGGAAAAACGTAAAAAATTCGATTTTCGTTGGGAGGAAATGGAAACAAAACACTATCGGAGCCAAAAAGTGGACACGAAATGGAATCAAAAACGGCCGTTTTTTTTTCGTGTGGGAAACCCGATATATACATGTATAAATATACGCATTGCCGTCTTTTCTCTTGGTTTTTTTCCCCTGCCGTTCGTATAGTCGAGGTTTCCCAGGAAGAAAACATATAGTAGTAGTGGTGGTGGTGGTCAGAAAAAAGTGATTTATTTGAACATTTTAAAGAAGTTTTTTTATGCTTCTAAACTTTTTTTCAAGCTCTAAAAAAAGACCTGAATTTTCAAATTCAAGCTTTAAAGTTTTGAAAAAAAGTCACGAAAAAAATGATTTTATTTTGAAAAATCTTGGATCATTTTTCAACGATTTTTTTGATGCCTCCTAGGCTTAAAAAAAGATCTGAATTTTTAAATTCCAAGCTCAAAAAAATTCTAAAAAAATCAGGTCTAAGTCAGGAAAAAAACGCGATAATTTGGAAAATTTTAGGTATTTTTGGTGATTATAATCTTATTTTTAGGCTTGAAAAAAAGACCTGAATTTTCTGGAATCTTGGCTCGAAAAAAATCTGAAAAATCAAATTCTAAACTTTACCTTTGAAAAATCAGTTCTTTAAAAAAACTATTTATTAATTTAATTAATTTTTTTGAAAGCCCGTTTTGAGCTCAAAAAGAACAAAAAAAGCCTTCCACGAGCTCAGTTTCCATTTAAGAAAAAAATCTTTTCTTCAGAGAAAATTTCAAATTCCCTATTCCAAAGTACCAAAAAGATTAGTCAAAGCTGTTTTTTTTTGAAAAAAATTGAACTTCAAACTTTTTCTATCGAAGCCTTATCATTGTCAAAACATGATATCAGTATGAAATTTGAGTAGAAGACCTTGAGACAAGAGAAAATGTAGCTATTCCTCCAAAAAAAGCTAGAAAACAAGAAAAATTGAATTTTTTAAGCGTCAAACGGAGCTTGGAAACAATTTGTAGAGATTTTCTGGTTTTTCTGTTTTTTTGAACCAAGAGAAAAGACGTTTCAATTCTTAGAGCTTTAAATCAAAAAGCTAGAAAACAAGAGAAATTGAATTTTTTTGTTCCAAACCAAGCTTGGGGAATTTGTTCAAAAAAAGGCAAGTAATATCAAGAAAATCTCCATTTCCTCCCGGAAAAAAGAAGGAAAAAAAGAGTTTCTCCAGCTTTGTAGGAAGGAAGAAAATTGCATTAAATCTCGCATCAACTAAACCGGAACCCTTTTCCATCCTTTCTTTGCTTTCTTGCTAACTGAAAAATGTCAAAAACAGAGCTTTTTGTGCAACTTTTCCGCTTGAAAAAGGGGAAACTTGGTCTTATATAGCTCCAATTAAGAAGAAAGGCTTGAAAAATGGCTTGAAAAACAGCCTGAGAATAGTTCAAAAAAATAGGATATCTTGAAAAATTCTAAAAAAATGACTTGAGTAATGTCGAAAAAAATTTGGCTCAAAAAATGGCCAAAAATGGTCAAAAAAATGACCCTGCAAAATGGCTCAAAAACCGCCTTTTCTCTCGTTTCTTTTTAAAATTTGATTAAAACTTCATATTCCGACTAGGGAAACAGTTCATGGCTGGAAAAAGATGAAAATGCAAAATCTAGAAAATTCTACTGTTTTCACTCAAATTTTAAACTAAAAAGTTTCCCAAAACGGGATTTTCTCGTTTTTTTTTGTCTTAAGGGAAAAAAATATAAATTTCATGTTCTTAAATGTTGAGAAAAAATGAGTAAAAACTATGAAAAAAACCAAAAATGCGTAGAAAATCTTAAATTTTTCAACTCGGAAGGCTTCTTCCCGGTTCCTAATTGATTTCTAAACATCTAAATGTGACAAAATAACATTTTCAAAGGACCAAACATTGGAAGAAACGTGGCTGGGGCTTATTCGATTACATTCAGAATACCGCCACCCGCGCCCGAATGTTTATTTCCAGGCAAACGAACGAACGAAGGAAAGGAGCAGAAAAAATGGCCGTGTTTATTGGATTTGTCGCCTTCTTCTTCTTTTCCTTCTTCTTCTACTTTTTGGTGCGGAATCCGGGGATTTTATTTGGAAAAATGACTGAGGAAATCCCTTAAAAAAATGAAGAAAAACTATGTAAAATGATCGAAAAATCAAAAATTCAAGCCAGTTGAAGCCAATAATTTTTGTTTTAAAACAAATTCCAAACTTCAAAGTCACTTTTAGGCTGCAATAAATCAATGGAAGAACCCAAAAAGGAACTCAAAACTCGAAAAAAATTGGCCTCAAAAAATTTTTCTCGGTGCCCACTTGTACCAGTAATTTCGTTATTCGGCGGCCTCTTGAAGAGGGAAAAAAACCGGGAAACGAAAAAAAAAAGGAAGAAGAATAAGAAAAAGGAACTCTTAAAGGGACACAATATACTCAAGGAAGGAGAAAAAAAGGTTCTCTTCAAAAATTTTTCCGTTTAATTTTTTTTGAAGTTTAATTTTTTTCAAAGACAACTTGTCAGTAAGTTCCTTATTTTTTTGTCTGGAAAAAAATTCCCGGACTTTATAATATTTTTTTTCTAAGTATGATATAGTCACAGAGGGGATGAGAAAACGCTTTAAAAATTCGGATTATCTAGTCTAACTTTGAAAAATTCCCTTGAAGGGCTTTTTCTCAACCTTGAACCGTACGAAAATTCACGTGAATCTCATTAACATTTCTTGAAAATGTCCTCCTTTTTAAATTTTCCCCTTAACTCCATCCAACTATATCCTCTTAACACCTGGTTTTCGTAAAAAATTTCAAGTTTTAATTTTTTATTCATGTTCTTGAGTCCCGATCCGAAGCGCAACTTCTTCTTGAACGGGTTAAAAAATTGAAAAAAAGACGTACCAATGACGGAGTTGGCGGTGGAGGGAAGGTTTCCGACGGCGGCTGTGGCGGCGCCGGCCGAAGCGTCGCTGCGCATCGGCGCCAGCACGTCAATCATCGTTTTCGAGGCGCGCAGTTGCGACTGCGAGTACCCCTAGGAAGAAATATAACTATGATAAGGAAAATTCTGGGTAGTGCTGGGCTCATTTCGAGGCTTCCACCTAGAGCACGACTTCTGAGCTCCAGCGGCGCTATCTGAGCTTCTTAAGGTCCACGTTTTCAACTTGATCAACTACTAACAATGAATGTTGTTTTAACACCTACCCTCCCCGAAAAAAATCCTAGTTTCCCCAACCCCCCTCAAAAAACTCCTAGCTCTCCAACCCCCGCCCCTCCAAAAAAATACTAGTCCAAAAAAAGGGGGGTACTAGAACCTAATAAAAATTATAGGATTTCGTTCCATTTTCAAAAAAACCAATGTGGTAGAAAAAGTAGTTGCGGAACAATAATATTCAAAAAATCGAAATGGTTATCACTACCAAAATTTTTAAACCCTCAGCTTGGGTCACGGATCGAACCCGTGACCCTTCGCACCCCAGACAAGCACCCAACCCAAGCTTTTTCAAAAAATTCACCTGATGCGGATAGGGCAAAGTTCCGTAGTCGTAGTGTCTCTGGGGCTGCTGTTGGGGCTGCTGATGGTACTGTTGATAAGGTCGATCGCCGGTGGCGGGGCAGGAGTACTGCTGCTGAAGGTAGTGTCCACGGGGTGGTGGCGCCGGTGGCTGGTAGAACGAGGACGAGGTCGAGGAGGGCGAGGAGACCTGCTGCTGGAGGTTCTGCTGGCTTCCGACGACACTCGAGAGGTGCTGCTGGGAGCTGGCTAGACGTCGCTGTTGCTGAGCTTGTCCGCTCGGGAGTGTGTAGGCTGAAAAATCAATCAATAAATTCTGGGTAAACCAAGCTGAGAATGAGGAAATTTGACGGGGGTCGATAAAACGGGATCGATTTTCAAAAGTTGGTCACACAGGGAATGGCTCAACGCGTTGCGGTTGCGACGCGGTTACTCTAAAGAGACTGACCGCAACGCGACCGCGACGCGAGGAATTCTTGCAAGTGATCGATGAAATTGGGATGGTTCCAGTAAATGAATAAAAAACTCATCAATTGGAAAAAAAATTAAAATAAAAAAGATATCTTAATCCCTTAAGGGATCATTATTCATTCTGACCGTACTTGGAATGGCTCTAACTTGGCAAAATATTTTCCACAGTCCATTATTTGTCACCTTGGGCCGCGTTTGGAATGGCTCACTTCTAAAAAAGCCAATTTTCTTGTTTTTTAGTTGAAAAATTGTCTCTCTCAATCGACCAAAAAGTTGGGTTTTTCTGTACGAGAAGAAAATGTGAAATCTGAGATACAGAAATCAGCCAATAAATATGAATTCGTGGAAAAATGGGATGACTACTGTCGAAAAAACAAAGCCGGATGGAAAATTCGGCACAATTGCGCACCAATGATGAAAACCTCAAAAATTTTTCGAAAAGCTTCCAGATGAGGTCCTCCAGCTACTAGAAAATATGAAAGCCCAAGAAACCACCTTTAAACACGTACCAAGAACAATATTTCAACGCGAAACACATAAAACAAGCTAAAAATATGTTATTTTGTCCTCCTCACGTGTAGGTATACGAATGCGAATACATGCGTGCGAAAAATACACGCATATATATATCTCAAAACAAGTGTTATAACGAGCTTCGTAGAGAGTGTGGAAACCATATTTATGTACATGCGAATGCAGAGAAAAATAGAAAAAAAAAATTGGAGCTTAATATTCATCAATAACGCAGAGAACGTCACAGAATATCGAATCATATCAAAAATGAGAGAAAAAAAGAGTTCTATGGGTTATGAATCATGAGGAAGTTTATTGAAAATACGAATTGAAAATATCGTTTTGAAGACTTTCGCAATCTTAAAAATATTTCCAGAAGCTGCAAATTACCATGTCTAGAAGCTAATTAGACCCTTTGGAATTTCCAGAACCCAAAAAAAAGTTGAGAGTGGGTTAAAAAAGAGAAAATGGGAAGAATCACTGTGTAGTACGTCTTAGAGCGTGTTCTTAAAGCGCTGTAGTGCGTCTTAGAGCGTGTTCTTGAAGCGCTGTAGTGCATCTCAGAGCGTTTTCTTGAACGGCTGTAGTGCGTTTAGAGCGTGTTCTTAGAGCGCTGTAGTGCGTCTTAGAGCGTGTTTATTCTGCTGTACGGAAGATTAAGTTTCAAAAATGTTTTGAACTTCCCAAGATCAAAATAATTGGTTAAATGAGTCCACGAGAGTATAGCGATTAAAAAAAAAATGAGTTCCCGAGAGTCAATAAAATACAGAAACAAATTTTTTCCTGATTTTAATATTGGGTGAAAGTGATTTTTAGGTTCACGCGGACCTCCTTCAAGAAGTTATCAAGGCTTTACGACCCTTTGAAAGGCCCTAAAAATATTGCTGATTATTTTTTAGGCGTTATCTGTTCATCGAAACATTTCCTAAACACTTCAAAAATGGTCATAAAGATTTTTAAAACCATTAGCAGATATCTAAAAACCCTTTTAGGAGATCAAAACTTTTCCAGAAGCTCCTCAATCTTTCCAACCTAAAAAGTGACGTCACTAAGCTCCTGACTAAAAAGATGACGTCATTAAGCCTTATTAATTATCCTCAAGTTTCTAAAAAGCTAGGAAAGTTTTAAAATCTGAAAAATTGTATCTAGTGACCTCAGGCCTTCTCCAGAAGCTCCTCAACCTTACCAACCTATAAAATGACGTCACTAAGCTCCTGATGATGACGTCATTAGGCCAAATATCCTCAAGTTTCTAAGAGACTTGGAAAATCTAAAATAATTTTAGAATTTAATAACTTTCCCCTAGTGACTTCAAAACTTCTCCAGAAGCTCTCCAACCCCAACAATGACGTCATCAAGCCGAAATTTCATCACCTTCCGAGCACTAGGACTCAAGTTCTGAGGGTCAACACCAACGAGGAGAACATGGCGGGACGGCTCTTGAACCCAACTGTCCACATGGCTTCCCTTTCCCAATATAGGTGTCTCTTTTTCTCTAGGCTTCTCTCATTTTTCCACAATATTTCGCTGAGCGGAAAAGGGTCCACAAATACACGAAATGTGTGCAAACAACCGTTCATTCTGCCCTTGGGCTACCTGAGGTCAGAAAAAAGGTGAAAAAAACCCATAAAATACGAACATTTAGGACGGCGGCCGGGGGGCTATTAAATGCCGAGGGGGAAAAGAAAGGACACACGTTTGATATATATTTTTGTGAAAGATTGATGGTTGGGTCAACAGACGTGGGAATTGGAAGATAGACAGGAAACATGGGCGGTTTGGGATGAAAATAGGAAGAAAAATGGGGTTTTTTTTCAAGGTGTAATGAAAAAAGGAGCGTTTTTTAGTAGATAGATCCATCTAAAATGAAGGGCAATTTGAATCGTCCAAAAAATAAAATATTTAAACTTTCAATACTATAGTAAACACTAGGGAATTATCAGAACCAATAAAAAAATCGATATAACTTTCATAAAAAAATCTATAAAGGTTCTGAAACCGTTTCTAGAAAAAAATTCAACAAAAAAATGTCTTTCGGAAAAAAATCAAGGTGGAGGGAAAGCTGAAATTTTTCAATCTCCAAGGGGAAAAAAATATAAATTCTCAAACACAAATTGAAATACAAATAAGGTTCAGAACCCCTCGAAAGCGGCCTTGAATCGATATAAAAAAATCAAAAAAACAAAAAAAGTTATCACTTTTAATTTTCACTAATCCTATATTTTCTCATCGAAAATGTCCTAGAAGCCGAAAAATCTTCAAAAAACATTCAAAAAAAGGCCTTAATTTTTTTTTAATCAGCCAATTACCATACGAAATGGCTACTGGTTCGTATAAAAATGATAGTTTAAGTCAAAAATTCTCAAAAAAGCAGGAATATGGCTCAAAATGTCATCAAAAACTCTCCAAAAACTCAAAAATAGCGGCCAACAGAAATAATATTTGGTTCAGGACCAACTTAAAAAAGAAAAAAAAACATCAAAAAGAAGAAAATTTGAGCCAAAAAAAGGGCTTAAATTCGGACTTATCCTCATATAGAAGATCCTAGACGCCGAAAAACCTTAAAAAGATCTCTTTTTGAAACTTTAATAGCAGTTTAAAATGATACTCAAAGCCGAAAAGTCGTCAAAAAAGCAGCAAACTAGTTCAAAACTCTCCCAAAAAGAGGGCCTAAAAATAGCCGGCCAACAGGAGGAATTCCCGGTTCGGAGGAAGGACCAACAAAGAAGAAAAGAAGTCGGAAAGAAAGAAGTGTGGTGTGGGGGGAGGCCTGAATCAACACAGAGACACAGTCCTTTTTTGGTCATTGAGAGGGGGGGAAGGGAAATGGACGACGGCGGCTCTCTTCCGAGGGGTTGGATGATTGGTCAAACCGCAAATATACCGCCTTCCTAGGTTCAGCAGCCGGGTTAAGAGGGCTTTTCTGTTTCCAAACGGTCGGGAAAAAGCGAAAAAAGGCGAAAAAAAGCGAAAAAAAATTTTTAAAAAGAGGCGATTTTTTAGAATGAAAGTGCGCTCCATTGATAAAAATAATGAAAGTGATTTTTTTGAAAAAAAGTTTAGAGTGCTTTTCGGTTTTTAAAAAGAGTGGGAAATGGCTAGAGAGCTCAAAAAGGAGTCGAATGCAAAAAATGCAAGTAAAGGCGATTTTTCGAATGAAAGCGTGCTCCATTGATAAAAAAACTGAAAGTGACTTTTTAAGCAAAGTTGGGAGGGACTTTTGGTTTCGAATTCAGTGGATAATGACAAGAGAACTCAAAAAAGTCGAAATGATGCAAAAAATAAATTAAATGAATAAAGGCGATTTATTCAATAAAAGTGCGCCCTATCGATAAAATCGGATAAAGTGATCCTTTAAAAGAAATTAAAAGTTTTTCTCGTTCCAAAACAAGCTCAATAAGGAAAAATCTAGGAAAAATCAATGAACCACGAAAAAAAAGTGAAGGCGATTTTTCGGATCACAGTGTGCTCCATTGACAAAATCGATGAAACTAAATTTTTGCCATCAAAATTGGGATTGTTTTTTTTCTAGACTGAAAAATTGTTCTTAAAAAAGCTGAAATTCAAGAGAAACTACAAAATCTCAACAATTCCATGGGGCAAAAGCTGCGTTTCAAAGGTTTAGACAAGTTTCGGGCCGACAAATCTCGCAAAAATGACACTCACTCACCCAGAGGGGCCATTATGCGTCGCCGCGCAATTATTTCATGAAAAAAAAGGTCTGACTGCATTGGATCGGATCATTGAGCTGTTTGGTGACTTTTACACACAGTAAACTAGTTAGATACGCATTGGGAAAGGCTCGAAGGCGTTGCGGTCGCGTCGCGGCTTGAGCTGAATTATTGAGGCTTGAATATTTTGTGCGCAAGCCGCTCAAGGTCGGGTGCACTTTCGAAGGAACCGCATCGCAGCCGCGGCGCGTTGAGCCATTCTCAGTGCAACCAATAAAAGGTCAAAAAGAGAAAATTTCTAGGTATTTTATTTGCGAACTAGATCGGATCATAGGCGTCTTATACATACAGTAAACTAGTTAGATCCGCATTGGGAATGGCCCGAAAGCGTTGCGGTCGCGACGCGGCTTGAGACAGACTTTGGGACTTTTACGCCTTCAGGCGCAAACCGTTTAAGGTCGGGTGCATTCTTAAAGTACATATGCAGCCGAAAATTACAATAAGAAATTCGAAAAAAAATTTCGAGGATTTTTATTTTCGTACTAGATCGGATCATTGAGATGATAGGCGTCTTATAAAATCAGTAAACTAGTAAGGTCCGCGTTGGGAACGGCTCGAATGCGCTGCGGTCGCGTAGCGGCTTGAGCTATGATGCTATTGTGCGGAAGCCGTGTAAGGTCTGATGCACTTTTTGAGCCATTCCAACTGCGACCAAAAAGTTTCAAGTCATGACAAATGAAGAATTTTCGACTTGTAATTCTCAAGAAACGGCCATATCAAAGTACAAAGGCTCAAAAAACATCATTTTTCCGGCTAAACGTTCAAATCCCCACAAATCCATTGCGAAAAAACCTATAAACCCAATTTTCGCTTAC